GCAATGCTGTATAGACAGGAGGCTTGCCAAGAAGAACTTCATAAGGACTCTTCTGACCAGGCAAAACTGAAGAAGGTAAGAGATTACACAAGTAATTGGATGTGTAGAAAGCTTCTACCCACAAATGATGAGGAACCTTTGCTTGAAACATCATAGATAACCCCAACTCTGTAATGTGTCTATGCTTCCTTTCAGCTAAACCATTTTGCTCAGGAGTGTAAGGACAAGAAATGAGTTGTTTAATGCCACAACTTGTTAAATGGGACACAAACTGCTTGTTGATGAACTCACCCCCTCCATCACACTGAAACATAGAGATTTTCTGTTGAAGTTGATTCTCAACCATCTTTTGGAAGCTTAAAAACACAGAGTAGAAGTCGGATTTGAGACGCAGAGGATAAAACCATGTGAATCTTGAATAATGATCGATTAAGATTACATAGTAACGAAAACCCTGAGGAGATACAACCGGAGAAGGTCCCCATAAGTCACAGTGAATTCGTTCTAGAGGTCTACTTGAAACAAAATTAGAAGAAGCAAAGGGAAGCCTGCAAATCTTTCCCATTTGGCAAGCATCACACAAACTGTGGCTTGTCTTATTAACAACTATGGCCTTATTCCTTGAAAGCTGTTGAAGAACATCTTGATGAGGATGACCTAGCCTCATGTGCCACACCTCATCACTTGTAGCTTGTTGTCTTGAAGAGTAACAAGCCATAAACTGCGGATTCTCCAACAGGTACAGATCATTATGTCTGACTCCTTTGGTGAGGAGCTGTCTTGTCTGTTTGTCCTTTATAACCACACCATCAGAATCAAACTCAATTGCACAAGGATAATCTGAAGTAAGCTTTGAAACAGATAACAAAGACTTGGTGATATTTGGACAAACAAGAACATCACGTAAAGGTATATTACCTTGATTACCTGAGAGAACTGCTGAACCAATGTGTGTTATAGGAAGAAAATCACCATTACCAACAATCACAGAGTCTTCACCACTATAAGGCTGAGCTTCTTGAAGTTGAGCAATGGAGTTCGTGATGTGAGAAGTGGCTCCAGAGTCTGTTACCCAGGGATTTGAGTGAGCATCTGACACACGCATAGCAGCAAAGGCTTGACTAGGATCTTCACTCTGATAAGCATGGTCAAAACGTTTGTAACACTTATAAGCAGCATGACCATACTTGTTACAGATCTGACAAGTTGGTCTGGTTCCAGAATCAGAGGAAGAGCCATTAGAGATTTGTTGATGGAAACCTCTTCCCTTTGTTGAATAGTTGTTTCGACCACGATAGCCACCAGAACGTCCTCCACGACCCCGATTTGAGTAGTTTGTATCAGAAGCAAAGGCCAAGTGTGGTGAAACAGCCGGACCCTCTGAATACTTAAGCAATTTGTCTTCATAATTTATCAACTTAAAGACAGCATCTTCAAAAGACATAGGAAAAGTATCTATGGAGCCTTCTATCATAGTGGTAACAGGAACATATTCTTTACCTAAACCATTCAAAACTCCAAAGATCTTTTCATTTTCAGGAACAGGACAACCAATGGAATCAAGCTGATCACAGATTTGCTTAACACTGTTCAAGTATTCAGCCATAGATTTGCCCTCCTTTGAAACAGAGTTTAAGCGTCGTTGCAAATCACTTTTCCTAGAAGCTGAGACTCGATTGTATTTCTTAGCTAGAGAGAACCATACCTCTCTTGATGTGTGTAGACCGTAGACAGAACGAAGTGCATCCTCAGACAACGAACCGAGAAGCCAACCCATAATCTTCTGGTCATTCTGAACCCAAGTAAGGAACTCCGGATTTGGCGACTCAGTAACCTCGTCTCCATGTCGAACAGATCTTGTAGCATTAGGGCATGGATTTCCTCCATTAACGAACCCGAGTAACTTTTGATTGTTTAACCAAGTTTCAAACTGTATCTTCCATAACAAATAGTTGGAAGAAGAAAGCTTTAAGGTAACACAATGAGAAAAACGAAGAGCGGAAGAGTCAGAGTTGTCAGCCATGGATGACCAAGCTCTGATACCATGAAAGTCTTAATAAGACAAGGATGAAGAGAAAATCTTTATTGAATATTTCTGCTTAAAAGATTACAATGATAAGAAAGGGTTTATATAGAAATACCCAAAATAGAGACTCCTAGGTCACACGTCACTAAGCACACATCACGACAGGGGAACAAAGCGAATCAAATATGTTGTGCAATTGTATTTTGTGAGCTGTGACGCCTGTACGGAGATGAGCTGGAGCCGTCGTACGGTTTGACTGTGAGGATTTGTTACCGTTGCAGGATGAGGACGAGATAACGACTGTGGGCTTGCTGGGCTTGATATTTTGAGAAAGGCCCAATGCCTTGTCTGGTCCAAAACCAGAAAGCAGAGCTTCTGGTTGAGGCAGAGTATCTCTTTGATTAATATAACGTAACACAAAAAATCGTTTAGTATACTACTCCGAATTCCGATCCGAGTCTACCAAGCTCTCCTAAAATTATTGTTAAGATCTCGATAGATCTTTAGAAATAGAGAATACTAATTTTTTAAAAGTATATTCAAACCCTCTTTACTAAATCAATCAAAAACTCAAAATGAAGAAAACCCTAAGTTCAAGTGTACTATTTATAAGAAAATCCTAAAACCTAATAATTCTAACAAAAACTCGAAAACGTACAATCCTAATTAAAAAATACGTAGATAAATGTTTTTAAAACTTGCAAACCGATTTTTGTTTTTCTATTTGCTGTTGAAATCTTTGAATGTTAGTACTTGATCATTATGCATTGTACTTCTTTTAGCAAACGTCACAGCAAATTTAGCATGTAAAAGCAATTGAGCCCTAGCTAGCCTTTTCTTTTACCGTATAACTTGCAAGAAAGAAAGGCTAGCTAGAAAGTGTGAGCCGTTTCTTTTGAAGAGAGTGGGAGAGATTTTTGAGATTCTGGGTTTCCGGTAATGGAAATGCTTTCCCAGCTTGTGTACTGTGTCTGAATAAAGAAATGTGTATACAATAAGAAGCTAGACAGTATTGATGCACTGTGAGCATAATAATATATGTTATGCTAGTTGTGTGTTGTATAGTGATCACTTTAACTAGCAGACCAAAACTTTTCGAGGTGTATAGCAGACATGAATTCACAAGTAGATCCATAAATTATAGTTTCCCACAAAATTCGATGAGACCATGCATAGGGGGTTTGGTACGACGAATACCTTTTGATATGTATTGTATATATCAAGTAGATCTTAGTTTTTCTTTTCTTATTATGTTGTTTCCAAAATTAATTCGTACTCAGCATCTAGTACTAGCAACATTTTACAATATGTTTCAAGTGGATGAAAACGCATTACTTACTCAGTGAACTAGTAATGTATGTGAATCAGAATTTGTGTATTCGCACCAAGCAGATGCAAAGATGATTTGAACCATCAGAAGTGTGATATACAAGAACTTCGTCTTGTTTACCTTATGAATCTCCGAGCCAAGCATCTTCAGTGACATAAATAAACTTCCATTCCTGTCATACTTTTGATATACTAATAGTGGATTTGTGTATTTATATGGATGAGAAAATTAGTTCCAAGTATTTTTTCAGACACGTAAAAAATTTGATCTGTTTATATGAAAATAGTTAGAAATAATTGGTGCTTTTTAATAGATGTTTTCTTACTATAGTTTTTTTTTAATAAATAGATTGTTCCCTATTATATATATATATATATATAGACTATAGTTTATATATATGGTATAGTCCATACTTTATCATGACACGACACCCTACATACATATAATTCCTCATTTTCTTTCCCAATTTCTACTTTGCCATGAAGAGATCAAGAATGAGATAAAACATATAGTTGACACACTATTGGAACAAATATAAAAATGAAATAAAAATAGAGGATCTATATATAACGTAAGCATGATAGTAAAAAGTTATGACATAATTTAATTCAGAAAAGGTGGAAAAAGGAGCTGACCTGCAGACGTAATCTGTCGACAAATATCAATCTATATATATTGAGTCTTTGATCACCACATGTGGTCCTAAATTTCGAACCAACGCATAAAAATGAACTAGAAAGTAGCATATAGCAACCTTTGGCCGCTCCAAACGATCATGCTTTACTTTTTAATATTGTGTCCTATTACCTAAAGATGCTTTTACTATTTAATTAAGTTTTACAATTATTAAGTGAATACCGACAAGCGACACAAGCAAATTAAAGTACAACAAAAGTCAGATTATATAATCTGACTTTTGTTGTACGTAGCACACAAGCCCGATGCACCCAAAAAAAAAAAAAATAGAGTGAAACTCGAATCGTTATCCATCAATATAAGTTATTTTGTTTCAACTAATGGAGGATCTAAAGGCAAGAATACGTCATACCACTTGAAATTTAGTGGAGATCGAAAACTTAAGCATTACGTTTTGATGTATGTACCAAACTATACCAATAGTGTTGTTATAAAATGAGTGTATATATGCATCTTTAATGTAGATGTGTTGGCATATTTGAAAGCGTTATTCAGCACTTAGCTTTCCAGAGATCCAATTTCATTCGGATTATATGATTCTGGATTTCGTCCGGTTTACTTATTTGAAACGAATTTTATGAAACAAATGTATCGTAAAATTTAATCTCAAAATGCTATATCGAATCTAAACACATGATGCGAAACCAAAGTGTACATCTCATGGCTTAAAATGGTTTGCATAAGCAAAAATCATCTTTTTGACTATGTTAGACCATCTTTATCAATAAGTTCTTAAGAAAATCTTAAGATGATCTTAGTAATTTTTTAGTATTATTACTAAGAACCAAAGTTAAGATGAGTTGAGGGAGTTGCTAACCTAAGAGCCAAAAAGAGGTAAATCTTAACTTTGGTTCTTAGCAATAATACTAAAAAATTACTAATATCATCTTAAGATTTTTTTAAAAACTCATTGATAAAGATGGTCTTAGAGCATCTCCAATGGGAGGTTTTAGTTGATTTAGAGTGGGGTTCTCTGCTTTAAATTGAATTAAAATAAATCAAAACACATAATTATCAAGAGAGTCAGCTCTCTTGAGAGAGTTTTGGGAACTAGAGAGAACCGCAGACGTATCAAGCCTTGATTGGCTGATGCTTTTTGACCCAGCAAGAAAAAGAACACGCTGTGTCCTTCTCCTCCTTCGCAAATTTTTTCCCGACTCTCTGTCTCTGGCGATGGCGATCAAACCGGAGATTTCTCCGATTCCGTTGATTGGAAGTATTTTTAAGTGTGAAATTAAAAATCATCAGCTATGTTACTTATCTCGCCGCTCTTCATACCCATTGCAAGCTCGGTCTCGCCACTAAGCTCATGACCGCCGCTCAGGCTGCTATGGAACAGGTTACTCAATCTTTAAATTTCGTATTTGTTTGCATTCAATAAGCAGAATCATTGAATCACTGAAAGTTGAAAGCTTTTTATATCAATTTTTGGGATCTTATTTATTAAATGAATTGTGGCAATTGCCTTCTCTTCTCTTTTCTGGAAATTTCGGGATCTTTTGTGTTGTTTAGTATAGTTTGCGTCTGAAATTGTTGTAATTTGAATCACATTTGGTTTCCAAGAGCTGATTTTGCTATTGACGTGAGCTTTTGGTAGCTGCACATAACATGTTTGTTGAAATGCCTAAATGAAGCAATTTCTAAACTCTGTTTATTCTTACATGGTTAGTTAAATATGTGCTTTTAAATGGTTAAATACTACAGTCTACAATTAAGGAGTGATCTGATAGTAAAATATGTGCTTTAGTGGTTATATACTGCAAATAATGACTTAAACGATGTGTTGTTGATGGTTTTATATTGCAATTAAGGACTGATTAGGTGATTAAAGAAAAGCTATGTTTTGTTTTGATGGTTTATTGAAGGAAAGAATGGATTGTTGATGAGTGGTTTTATACGTTTATGTAGTTGCAGAAGCTAGGTGACATGGGATAAAACCATTTTCTGATGTTATCTTTTGAGAGAGTGTCATTTTAAGGAGTCAAATGTAACCCAAATTTTTATTTGTATATATACAAAGCATCTTCTTATGTGAATGATTTCTTCATATCTCACACAAACTAGAACAAAACTTAAATTACATCAACCACAAAACCATGACTTCTCTCCATATTTTCTTTTTCTTCATCTCCCAAAATGTGATCGTTATTCCAGTTTTTTATTTGAATATCTATTTTTACATGTTTGAAAATAATGTATGTTTAATATGTTAGGAATTGCAATAATTATTAAATTTTATGAAATATAATAATTTTTTTATTTTTTATTTTTCTAAGAACCCCACTAAAGAGAAACTACCATTGGACTATGAAATTTTTTTTTAAAAAACATAAGCTCTCATACAAAATTTATATTAAACAATTGGTGAGAACCCATAGGGGACTCTCAACCATTGGAGATGCTCTTAGTGGAGCCTTTATGAGCCATTCCTTAAACTTTTAAATTCTGACCATGAATTAAATTTAAATCGAGCTTAATATATATAAACAATGCTTACACATGTTAAGGAACCATTGGTTAACATAGTTCAAAATTTTACTAGATAAAGAATATAAATAAAGAATTTTATGTATTGGCCACATAGAATTATTGTTTGTCTCCCATTGCTTTTGTTGACGCATGACATCCACATGAAAATATCAATCTCATCCATAACTATTGTCTCACTCACATATCATCCAAGCAAACTATAGCTTTCACAAAGGAGGTGTCAATTTACATCAAAAAGGAATTTATTTTAGGTGTATTATGGATAAGAATAGTGATTCAAACGAACAAACACAGTCATGGATCGATCTATTCCATTACTAGAACAAAGGATCTTTAGTTATTAGCCAACATATATAGTAGCCAATAGACGATAGGGAAGAAAAACAACAGTTGCTAGTTTGCTACACATAAAAAATTTAACAAGATTACAAGAGACTATAATAACATTGACAACATCTACAATTGACACAATGAAAGATTTGAATCATTTATCCGTCATTAGTACTCGCATTGTAATTCACAAACTGAAAGAAATGGGACAAAGAATCTCTAAGGAACACACTATCTCCCAATAGCAACCAAATTCTGAGTTCCGAGACGAAGACAAAATGTGAGTAACTCATTTACGGTTTTGAAATTACAAGATTTTAGAAATTCGAATGGACATTATGTTTTGTCGGTGTGTTGTCTTATTACCTCTTTATGGGAATCGATACAAAACAAACACTCTCATTCCACCAACCCGAACGTTACACTCGATGTGATCAGAACGAGACAATTACAATTAATTACAAATGTGTTACTTCCGTTAGATTTTTTTTTACCACATATAGCAATTTTTTTCTTTCTCAAAAACTTCCTATCGTATAAATTAATAATTTGGTTCTATGAACTATTTAGCATATTACCAGAACTTGTCGAATCATACAACTTTTATAAATTAGCGGGATTATTATGAACCTTCTAAACATTAACTAAAATATTCCTTTTAAAGCCCAATAAACATCAATGGTTAGCCCGCAGATGACGATCAAATGGGCCTAACCAATGGCCCATTAAGAAAAGGGGGTTAAAAATGTAAATACAAGAAGATGTTTGGTGAGTCCTAAAAATCGTAAACCAGATATCCAATTTTCTCTCCATCTCATCTTTTGTCTCGGTCTCTCTCTCGAGTGTGTGTGTCTAAAGCAAAGAGAGAGAGATTTGAGAAAACTGAATTACAAAAAAAAAAAAAAAAAAAAAAAAAAAAAAACAAGACAACAAAAAAAACATCAAATTTGTGATAGTTGAAATCGAAAACGGTGAATACAAGTTCCCGCCATGGTGGCTCAGCAGCTTCAAGAGAGATGCGGCAATTCTCAAGAAGATCCAGTTGAGACCACCAAGTCTCTGATCTGTGCTGTCAATTACATTTCTCGTGACCTTCCTTTGCCTCCTCACCTCTTCGCCGCCGTTTCCTCTATCTACCATGGCGCTTCTTCTTCTCTTTCCGACTCCGATGTCTCTCCGCCGCTACCTACTTCGCCGCCTGTAAGCCCATCCACTCTTGAGCCCCTTTTTGGTGTTTGCCCCTTTTTTGGTTTGTGCTTTGTTTGGGGGTTTTGAATCGATTTATGTGGTCTTGTGATTTGTTTTTGTAGCTTTGCTTCGAGTTTAGGTTCAAAGTTTTCTCCTTTTTCGAGTTTCTATGGAAATTGGATATCTCCAGTGACTTGTTTTGTCAAATTACAGTCTAAAGGTTTTTGCTTTAATTTGTGATGTGGTCTCTTTGTTGTTTTGCAGGGGAATAATTTAACTCCCTATGGAGGTGATTTGATGGGTGAGTTCGAGGATGCACTTTTGAAGCAGAGACCAAATTGTGAATCAGGCTCTCGATTGATAGAATTACTCGATTATCGGAATAAGAGTCATATCCAACGCCGCTTATCTGAACTTGAAGGTTATTATCCCAAGTTATACTTCAATCCATTCTCAAGTTGTGATTTTGTTATGCCTGGCAATAGTTTTTTGATACTGGAGAACCTTTGTGAATTACGTTTCTAAAACCCTTTATTCTTCAAGCGGAATGCTTACTCTTTGTGTTTTTAAATCAGAATTACCTTCCACTAGAGGTGAAGACTTGCAGGCAAAATGCTTACTTGAGCTATATGGGCTTAAGGTATCTTCGTCGCTAGATGTTCTCATTGATCTTTGTTGTTATGTTACATTGTTTGAATTGTTTTATCTTTGACATTGACACTTTACCTTGGTGAGTCACAGCTACGAGAATTGCAAGGCAAGGTTCGAACCGCGGTGAGCTCGGAATTCTGGCTACGTCTGAACTGTGCAGATGTCAGTAGCCAACTATTTGACTGGGGCATGATGCGGTTGCCTCGTCCATTTTATGGGGTTGGAGATCCTTTTGCTATGGAAGCTGATGATCAGTTCAGAAAGAAGCGTGATGCTGAGGTCATTTACCTTTTATTCAGCTAGCATATTCTGGTGCAACTTTTTTAGGTCCTGGATTTTATTTTAACCCATGAAGATGAAGTTTCCTGATGGCATAAATGATGGGCATAAGGCCTTTGAACTATGGCTCATATATCTTTGCAGTACGACTAGACATGTGTAAAAATATATCACTCGATTCTGTTTTGTTGGAACTCATTTAAATGGATTTTATAGTATTGAAATGAAAACTGTACACAATTTCTAGTGCTTATGACATGATAATTTATTTATAGTTTTCAAACTTCTTGATTTGCATTGCTGATGTGTTAAAAGTCTTTGTTCAGAGGTTATCACGTTTAGAAGAAGAGGAGAAGAATCTGATTGAAACCGCCAAGAGGAAATTCTTTGCAGAAGTACTTAATGCAGTTCGTGAATTCCAGTTGCAAATTCAGGCGACTCAAAAACGCCGTAGGCAAAGGAATGATGGTGTGCAGGTATGATAGAGTTGACTTATGCAGTTATTGTGACAGTAGTTCCAGTTATCTTTAAATATTACCAATATACAAACATCTAAAATTTATTTTTGTCTACATTATTCGAACAGGCTTGGCATGGGAGACAAAGACAACGTGCTACCCGTGCTGAAAAGTTGAGGCTCATGGCCCTTAAGTCCGATGATCAAGAGGCATACATGAAACTAGTAAAGGAGAGTAAAAATGAAAGACTAACCACTCTTTTAGAGGAGACAAACAAACTCCTTGCTAATTTGGGAGCTGCTGTTCAACGTCAGAAAGATGCTAAACTTCCGGAAGGCATTGATCTTCTTAAAGACTCAGAATCTGACTTATCTGAACTTGATGGTCCAAGAAGTGAAGCATTGCAGGATCTGCTTCCTGATCAGGATATTGATATTACTGAGTCTGACAATAACGATGACTCTAATGATTTACTAGAAGGACAGAGGCAGTATAACTCTGCTATCCATTCAATACAAGAGAAGGTAACGTAGATCTCTATAGTACACTTAGTAGCAGTACGGTTAACTGTTTAAACCACTGCCATCTCAGAGACCAGGGAATTTAAAGTAGCAATATATACTTTTAACAGGTGACGGAGCAGCCCTCGCTTCTAGAAGGTGGGGAACTACGATCCTATCAATTAGAAGGGCTCCAATGGATGGTTTCTCTATTCAACAATAACCTCAATGGAATTTTAGCTGATGAGATGGGTTTGGGAAAAACTATTCAAACAATTTCTCTGATTGCGTATCTTCTGGAAAATAAAGGTGTTCCTGGGCCTTATCTTATAGTTGCTCCAAAAGCTGTGCTACCAAATTGGGTAAACGAGTTTGCAACATGGGTACCAAGGTATGTTGCAAACAATATTTTTCTTGGTGCTGGGAACTTGCACTGGTGTATATGTTAAATCAGCCATTCTGTTTTTTGACAGCATTGCAGCTTTTCTTTATGATGGACGTTTAGAGGAAAGAAAAGCAATAAGGGAAAAAATTGCAGGAGAAGGAAAATTTAATGTGTTGATAACCCATTATGATCTTATCATGAGAGATAAAGCATTTTTGAAGAAAATTGAATGGTACTACATGATTGTTGATGAAGGACATCGGCTGAAGAACCACGAATCTGCTCTAGCAAAGACTCTAGTAACAGGGTATATCTCTATATTCATTTTTCTGAAGTGAACGATGTTAGCTAACTATTAGGTTTAAGGCTGCTCTGATTTATCTCCTAGAGAATAATGAGGACTTTGAGTGTATTTTCTAACAAAAATTTATCCGGATGCAGCTATCGTATAAAACGCAGACTTCTGTTAACCGGGACACCCATACAGAATAGCCTTCAAGAACTATGGTCATTGCTTAATTTTCTCCTTCCTCACATCTTTAACTCAGTTCAAAACTTCGAGGAATGGTTTAATGCTCCTTTCGCTGACCGTGGTAATGTCAGTCTTACGGATGAAGAGGAGCTCTTGATTATCCACCGTCTGCATCATGTGAGTTCTTTAGCTCTCTTTCCTTAAATTCTGTATGCAATGTTTTAATGTAATCACTCTGTCACTTTCAGGTTATAAGGCCGTTTATACTGAGAAGGAAAAAGGACGAAGTAGAGAAATTCCTTCCTGGAAAGACACAGGTCATATTGAAGTGTGATATGTCGGCATGGCAGAAAGTGTATTACAAACAAGTTACAGACATGGGCAGGGTTGGCCTTCAAACAGGTTTTTAGCCTAACTCACGTATACTCTCTCCATAATTTTGCGCTCATCTTTGAGGTAGAGAGCATGAATCAGAAAGTGAAGCTGATTTTATGCAAACTTAATCACCATGTGCAGGATCTGGGAAATCAAAGAGTCTGCAAAATCTAACGATGCAATTAAGAAAGTGTTGTAACCATCCCTATCTATTTGTTGGAGGAGACTACAATATGTGGAAGAAACCTGAGATTGTGAGAGCTTCAGGGAAATTTGAACTCCTTGATCGTCTCCTTCCAAAACTGCGCAAGGCTGGACATAGGATTCTTCTCTTCTCCCAAATGACCCGTCTCATTGACGTTCTTGAGATATACTTGACACTTAATGATTACAAATACCTTAGACTCGATGGTACCACAAAGACAGATCAAAGAGGGCTTTTACTGAAGCAATTCAACGAGCCAGATTCTCCCTACTTTATGTTTCTTTTGAGCACACGTGCCGGAGGTCTTGGTTTGAACTTGCAGACTGCAGACACTGTTATTATCTTTGACAGCGATTGGAACCCACAAATGGACCAACAGGCCGAGGATCGAGCACATCGCATAGGGCAGAAGAAGGAAGTCAGAGTGTTTGTTTTGGTTAGCGTTGGTTCCATTGAAGAAGTAATATTGGAGCGTGCAAAGCAAAAGATGGGCATTGACGCCAAAGTCATACAAGCTGGACTTTTCAACACAACTTCCACTGGTATGTCTGTCCGAAAGAACAATGTGAGGTCTTCTGCTTTCTATATCGATATGGTAATCTCTTGATGTGGGTTTTGTGATTACATCAACAGCACAAGACCGAAGAGAGATGCTTGAAGAGATTATGCGCAAAGGAACAAGCTCGCTCGGGACAGATGTCCCCAGTGAGAGAGAAATAAATCGGCTCGCGGCTCGTAGTGAGGATGAATTTTGGATGTTTGAGCGAATGGATGAGGAGAGACGAAGGAAGGAGAATTACAGAGCCCGTCTGATGCAAGAGCAGGAAGTCCCTGAGTGGGCGTACACTACTCAGAGCCAAGATGAGAAGTTGAACAGCGGAAAGTTCAATTTTGGGAGTGTCACAGGTAAGCGAAAACGTAAAGAGATCGTTTACAGCGACACACTAAGCGAGTTACAGTGGCTGAAAGCCGTGGAGAGCGGTGAAGACCTGTCAAAACTCTCTATGAGACATAGGAGAGAGGAGAACACAAGCAACACAAAGACACCAACGAATAAAAAAGCGATAGAATCTATCCAAACTGTGAGTGATGGGACGAGCGAGGAGGAGGAAGAAGAGGAAGAAGAAGAAGAAAGAGCAAAGGAGATGAGTGGAAAACGGAGAGTGGAGAAGTCAGAAGAAGAAGAAGAAGGTGAAGAAGAGAATGATGGAAAGGCAATATTCAAGTGGAATACTCATAAGAAGAAAAGGTCTAGATACTCTTTTACGTGTTCTTCGTCTGACTCTAGAGCTCAAAGTTCCAACGGAAGTAGACGAAAATGAAGGTCAGGTGAGATCTGAGTTGACTTTGGTCTCTTCTTCTACGTGTTTGTGTGTCTTCTACAAGCATTTAGATGTTCTTCTTGCCAATGTAACTTATGCCAATCTAACATGTAATACATTTATTTTAATTGCTCTCTGGTTAAGTTTAGTTTTTAGTTTTTTTGTTGAAAGGTATTACTAAGGTACATGTTTATTATGTAGAATGATTTATTTGGGATTGAAAAACCCATTCTTTCAAAAATAAAACATATGTAATATTTTGCTCAGAAGATCTAAGAGACCAATTCATTTTTCGAGCCACTCTAAATGTACACTTGCCAAAATAAATGTATGCATATGATCTTCTGATAAACCGCTGCATTTCTAGTAAACTCAGCATCCAAACCACTCTCTATTAGTACAATACAAACTAATAAAAGATAAATACACTCACAAATTCATCTTCAAAATCTTCAAGATTCTCTCTTAAATCATCATCATCCATATTGCCTTCACTCTCTTCATGATCCTCATTTTCTTCTCCAAGAGGGTCATTCTTATCCAAAGGTCCAAGTAACTTAGAACAATTCTTGAATATCTCTTTGATTTCCTCAATGCCTTTAACAGAGATCATATTCCCATCAATGTTCAACATCTTAAAACTTTCTTTCTTGATAACAACACGAGCCAAGCCCAATGCTCCTTCTCTTCTCAAGTCATTGAAGCTCATATCAACATATTCTAACTCCAAACCATCCATACTCTTTACAATCTCAAGACATCCCTCATCTTTTAGATTATTCTCTGACAAGTTCAACTTTTTCAGATGTCGCTTTGCTGCCAAAAAAACTGCGATAGCTGGAGCCGCCTCATAAGTTATGTTATTTCCAGCCATTTCTATAACTTGAAGAGATGGAACAGAGTTCTTGAGAGCGTTTACTAAAGCTATAGCACCTCCATTCTCTAGATTGGTATAACTTAGGGTAATTACAGTCAAGAAATTAAAGCTTGAAACTGCTTTGCTCATAGAAACTCCAACTTTTATGTTATTATCACTTAGATAAAGTTGTCTGTTCATATGAGTACAAGTCTCAATTGCATTCTCCTCTATAGTATCCTCATTGGTCAAGCTAGTCTCTACCATATTCACCAGGAGCTCCTTTAACTTTTTCTCTCCCAAGGGAACCACAAGCCCAATTCTTAGTTAGCCATAGATAAATTTATATTTTCAATTCAAAAAAAAAAAAGTTTATATTTTGAATAATAATAACAGAGGTGTTATAGGATCATAGAATCTAAACCAACAAAATCTATTGTTATTAATTATTTAATTTAATATTTTCAAAATATTGACAAATTATGTATTGTTGGGTTTGATGTGTAAGCCATCTTAAAGAGTTTAACTTATCCAATTAGTAAATATTTTACTCAATATGTTATGAAAAGAATGATAGATAAATCAGAGGAATTGTATAAAATCCACCCTATAGAATTAGAAGAATATGTTATTGTTCTCAAAAGAATAAATGTACATGAGAGATACACTTATATAGGAAATGAATTAGCCTAATTATCTAACTAATAGAATTATATGAGATATATACATATCTCTAGAATATATTCATATATCTTCCTTTAATCATATGGATCTTCTAGATCTTTCTATAAACAATTCTATTTTATTCTATTTTTCACGTGTATACTAAATTTATTTAATGAAATGGATAATAGTTCAATTAATCATGAATAGGTTATGCTTATTCGAACTGATTATGTACAAGTTCACATAAAGAATGATCCAAAGTATTTATGTGAAAATATGAACTACTATTATATTATGCTAGAAGAATGATCCAAAGTCTTTATGATCCAAAGTCCAAAAAGATTTCATCACCAATCTCTAGGTTTTCTATAACGAAGTTTTTCAAGGAAACACTTCGAATATTGTATCTTCCTGTTGGTCTTGTTGTTGACTCTTCTAACACAAGTGTTACTTTCATACGAGTGTAATCCTCTTGAACTCGTTCATACGAGTGTTCTCCACGAAAGTCTTGTCGAAACGTAGTCTTCCGGAGTATATAATAAATGTCGTAATCGACACTGTCATGCGTGGGGTTTGTGAAGTTGAACTCTCCCCATCAACAAACATAGTCTTTCGGAGTTTAAAATGTATGTTGTAATCTTAATTTTTAATCTAAACTAATTTTTCTAAATATCTATATTTTTAAATATAGAATACCCGGTTTATAATTTTAGATATGTTTTGATCCGATCCAAATAAAAATATGAAATATCCGGTGTAAGCTGTTGAAGTAAATTTTGTACAAGGTCGGTACCAAAAATCTCGGATAAGTTTTTAAATCCACCCGATAAAAAATATATTTCAAAACTACTAGTATAAATAGTCACTTTCTAAAATGTTAAATATCACATCAAAACTAACAAAACATTTTAGCGTAGGTGCATCTATTGATTTTCTTTAGGAATTTAATAGCAAGCTTCTTTTTGTGATAATAAAAATGGTCATTATATATTAAGGCTTACGTTTACTAAAAGTCTAAAACCAAAATGATGATATGTTGAATCCATCAAATGTTCGAGGCAAAGAGAACAACGTAGAGAGTCGCACTCTATTAACATACTTAAAAAAAAAAAAACTTACGTAGTATCTTCTACTAGTAATAATATTACATAAGCAAACTTTTGATATAAAATCCTAAAACAGTATTGATTATTATAAGGTTTAATATCTATCTATCTGTATATATGTCGAGATGTTGTATTAAAAACGTATGGGCCTCTTATCCCAGTTGGCTTTTGGCGGTCACACTGGCTCATATACTTAGCCGAACCTAGTAATCAAAATAAAAACTTTTCGTAACACTCAGATTCTGCTGCGAGATATGGCGACGTTTGAAGATCCTTTCCTCGCCAACCGTGGTCAGCTATCTGAAACCGAATTCGAAGAAGATGATGCTCAAAAGGAGGAAGAAGAAGAAGAGAACGAGACTATTATTACTAGTCTGAATACGATGATCTTGATAGCGTTTCTAAGCTACAGAAACTGATTTACTGATATTATGCAGAAAGTGGAAGAAGCTCTAGATTTTGATTTAGAATACAAGCTAATCTTAGATTGAAATAAGCTCTTAGTCAAAATCGACAAGGAAATTGCCATCTTTCACAAGTTTATCCGTCACAATTTCAGTCTTACTCAGCACTGGACTGTCTTGCACCTCACGCAGTCCATTATGCTCGTGTTGTTAAAAGAATCGCTTGCGAGACGAATTTAAACATGGTTCAAGTAAATGACCTTCTTCCAATAGATATGGTCATACTGCTTCAACTATATTGGTAACTGGAAAGCCACCTCCAAAAGATGTTCAGGAGAAAACGATAGAGGCCTGTGATCTAGTTATTGATCTTGATTCCCAGAAGAAGAAAGTTCTTGAGTTTGTCAAAATCAAAACGAGATTCATCGCACCGAATCTGTCTGCGGTTTTCGTAAGTAAAGTTGCAACTAAGCTTATTATAACTTATAAGTGCTGGAGATTTATCAGCACTTGCTAAGATTCCTCCTATTTATAATGTTCATCAACATGTTGGTCAAAGGAGGAAGAAGAGTTTTGTTGGGTCTCTTGCAGAGATTTTGAATGAGACAGAGATTGTCCAAAACACGCCTCCTAAATATCAGAATGATGCTTGTGAGTTCTTGGCTGAAAAGTTGACTTTAGCAGCAAGAGTCAAAAGTTAAAATGTTTTATTCTTTTATTATTTAACGACTAATTCAAGCAGTATCGTCCATACAATGACAAAATCAACCAAAGCAGTGCTATTTGGAATAATTATTAGACTAACTTAGTAATTAGGACCTAAGATAAGACCTAACTGTGTCTGCTTCTCTGCACGACGAAAACTTCACAAATTAGTAGTCTTGTTGAGGACTCTATACATGAATTGGCGTATCTCTGGGATTGTTCGCTGCACCAATTGGTTAGTCCTGCATTTTACCGGGAATGAAAGGTTATCCATACTTCATAGCTGAAAGATGTCCTTAGATCTACTATGAGCCTATGAACATAAGTTGAACCTTAGATCTGATTCTTAAAGATGCAATAGAAGCTGACTCTAGGTGATACTTCCATTATAATAGTAAATGTGGGAAAGATTGAGATTATGATTACCCGGGTTTTAAACTCAGTTTATCAAAGTGTTTAAGGATGAATAAGATACAAGTCTGCTTCAGCGACTTTGCGTTAAATGCTTCTGAGAGATCGTACTTGCTCCCTATGTTCTCCACCGTTATATCCTTTCATATGAAAATACAGTGTAAAATTTAGATAAATTATGCAAACTTTATTGCAATGAGAGAATATCACATTACTCTACTTAACAATCATCTTGGGCTAACCTGACCAATAATGTATTCACAGAGTCGCTTGAGCCCCTCCAAGAGATACTGATCCGCTGCTCTTAGAAGATCTTCTGCAATCTCTTTTGTGATGTTGACTGAACCCGTGTATAGAAACCTGAAATCATCATCCACATGAGTCAACTACAAACATGAAGCATTCTCAGAAACTATAAGCTTTAGACAAACCCAATCATACCTCATCATTAACTCAAAAACTTCCCATTGAATATTTGGAATCTCGATATCTCTTGCATCTTTTTCCTGCGGGAGTGAAATCAGCACTAAATGAATGAGCCATTGTAACTCTAGTTTTCACAAGATACAGACTTATCCGAGTTCCCATGACAGAAAGCAGGTCAGTAAAAATCACACAGTCATTGTAGGTAATAAGGATGTTGTCGTTTCAGCGCAATCACTAGCGCCAAGTAAGAGATAATCAGTACAACACTGTTCTAAATATCATGCGAGTCGAAATAAGACAAAAGCACAAAAACTTATGGTAGAAAGAAGTAACACTGATTCTTATATTAGCAAAACAAAACAAAAAACGTGGTAAAAGATCTAAAAATGCCAGCCAATGTATTCACAGAAAATGTTTAAAAGGATCCCACTGGCAAGGACAAAGAAATTTAAAAGCTCACTTACTCGGTAGCCACCATCAAACATTGCACGAAATGCATCTGAAGATGCCAGCAGACAAATTCTGTGAGCATAGAATCTCCTGCCTGCAGTATAATATTTTCCACATTTTACCTATAAATTTTGGAGACAACAAAACTGCTGCAACTACAGAATTCAAAGAGTACCTTCAACTAGAAAGGTCACATCAGACAACGTAGCATTATTTACATATTTCTCTCCAAGATATACCTGCGACCAAATAAACAAATTACTGCATTAGGACTTCACCTGTTATGAGGAAATTGTTTGGAGAACTGACACAAGAAAGAAATAGACCATTTGTGTTGGAGATGGAGGAGCAGCATCGACTAAAGAAAGCGCCATAGATCTATTTGCTAGATTGTATAGAGCTACAGCACTATCAAGTTGCTGCTTAGCGTTTGTAGAATCAAGAAGTCCAAGGAGCAACTCCAATCCTGTCAGAAATATTACACAAAAAATAAACCGTCATGCACCGAAGCATCCGAACTCAACTGATAACACTTTAAATTGATAAAAGATCCCAAAAAACACACTCCTTGTTAGGAAAAGAAAATTCAGAGAAGGTGTCACATGCCATTGCCATTAACGAATATGGTTCGCTGATCCTCTGGGGAACAGAGAAGGGCAAGAGCAAGAGCAACACGTCTTTGGATAAGCTTGTCTGAATTGCGCATCAGGTACAATAGATGTGTTAAAACCTACAGAAAAAAAAGAAGATATTATAAGATGTCAAAGTTTGAATACAGATTTGCTTAACTCCAAAAGAGCTTTAGATATTACAACAGGTTACAGCAATTTCCTACATATAGTGAAATCTATAATTTTGCCACCCGGGAGTCCAAAATATATGAAGCCATGCAAATTTTCACTTACTCTTCCCTGAATCTTCCCCTCTAATCTTTTTACTGTTTTGGAAACACAATCTTTAATTGCCTACAATATTAGCGGAAAGTTATAAACATCCAAGAGACGGGTCCAGGGTAAATCAACTTCAATATGTAAATGTGCTCAGCATCCGGAAGTAGAGAAAGGGTAACAAGGCCAAACATACTTGAACAATAAACTTTCCTTCTTGAAGCTTCTGGACGCCTCCCACGCTGATAAAAGCAGACACATTATCCTAGAGAGAAAAGGTGGATCAATGATGCTTTTCATGAGTTCTATTGTCAAGATCTTGAATCCTGGTAAAGAAAACATGCAGGGGATAACATACAACGTACCTCATTATCAGCAAGACCATAAAGAGCAAATGCAGCTTTGCGTTGCAGAGATATATTTTCTGATTCTAGAAGCTTCAATAAAGGTCCTAGGGCACCCTTATGAGCAATTCCAGCTTGATTGTGGGAATCCTGCAGGAAAAGGTGTTTTGAAATTATAATTATTTGGGTTTTGATAATCAGTAATGCACAAAAATTATCTTCACCAGGGAAACATCATGATCTCAAATATTTTATTTAGAGATAAATTGTGGCAACAGCTAAACCGCGAAATTGCAGTTCACAATGTTCAAAAAGGAGATTTTCAACTCATAAGACTAAACCAACAAATATGTAAATTAATAACCTGTGCCAGTCTCCCCAACGCAAAGGCTGACATTTCCTTCAACTTAACTTCTGGTGACTCAAGCATCTCAATCAAAGGACAGACAGCCCCCCTTTGTACTATGTGTGCCTGCAAAGTTATGTGATCACTACTAGGCCAGAGGACGACTAAAATCACACCAAGAATAAAAGAAATGGGAGTATAAAACCAGAGATGAAATGGCACCTTGCAATCAGAATCAGAAGCAGCAAATTGACCAATTAACAAAGCTGCCTCTCTCCGGCTCTCAGGGCAACAAGAGCTAGAAAAAGACATCAAGCAACAACAACAAACATGAGGGTAACAGTATTAAAGCAGAACATCAGCTTAACAAAGAAAAAGTATCAGAAACGGCTAAGATAGTAAGAATTACATTTATTGCAGCTTTGTTGAAACCAACTACTTTATGCTTGACCATGTAAACCAAAATGGCAATTTTTTACATACCTGAGAAGACTGATTACAGGCTGCAATGCCCTGGCATCAAGAACTTTCTTTTTAATGTTTAGAGAGGAGTGTACTAGATTGCCAAGAACACCAACCTGAAACCCCAATCAAACTGGTTAAGTTGATGGCAATTCAGTAGATCAAGTAGCAGAATAATTGATGTTGCAAATACTCTCAAACCCCAATAAAGGATCCCAGAGGAGTCTTACCGCTTCATAATGTACCGTAGCGTCCTCTGATCCTAGCAGTAAGATCAACATTGGAAGAGCATTACAGTCAACTATCTGAAAGAAACGAGTTCCAATCACGCTCCATCCAAAACTAAGTAAAAGCTGTAGGTGACAAACTAACAGTAATTACTTGGTTCTTGTTAACATCATTTTTAAACGCGAGGGTTCTCAATGCCCCTGCTGCTGCTCGCTGAACTTTTGAGTCAGCAAATTCAAGCAACTCCACAAGAGGCGGAATACCTCCTTCTAACCTGCTCATCCAAGAACTGGCATTCATGATAGTGGTTGTACTGAATGCAAAACTCGAAAGGAGGGAACTACTTATAATATGCTGACCTAACAAGGTTCTTGATAGTGTTATTCTCATGGGCAAGATTGATGATAGCATCAGCCGCCCTTCTGAGAACAGATCGAGAACTAGAACCATTTTTGTTTCTCTTCAATAGATTCAAAAGATGGGGCAATGCACCATAGTCAATTATTAGCTTCTGGTGCTCTGGCTGTTAGCAATCAATTCCAAAACAAACAAACAAAAATCACATAAACCATCCATCGAAGGTAACTAGATTTCAATAAGTAGCAGCACGAGTGGAGAGTGTGAATCAAAACCTTGATTGCGAGATAACCAAGAGCAAGCGCACTTCCTTTCTCTACCTCATGTTCCAATGGTTTTAGAGCCCCATCACCGTACGGCGGAGCCTGTAGATGCTCAACGAGAAGTGGAACAGCCCCTCCCTCGACAATCACGTCAACAAAATCTTCTGATGAACACCAAATAATCACTCACGAAGTCATGCATAAAAAGAGGAAGAAATTAGTAACACTGGAGATGATTTTCACCGTTTTTGGCGAGCTCAGCTAGAATTTGGATGGCGCGTTTTGCGGCGGTGCGATCGGCTTCTTTCCAGGACAAAGTGGAGCTCAGTACGGATACTTGAGTGGCGACCACTCGGAGGAGCGCCTCGCCTCCGTCGGTGGCTACAGCGGAGATCTCCCGCTCATCTCCTTCTTCCAGTTTTCTCTTCTGTCCTTTGCGCTCCGGGAAGGTCCGGTCGTCTAGCTTTTCCGGTTGTTGCTCCATGAATTCACGGCGAAAGAGAGGATTAAGATAAGGAAGTAGCGAATTTCAAATTTGAGCAGAGAGAAAATCTTTTGGGGATCTTCGTTCGAGTACGTCTTTTTTTTTTTTTTTCTCATTCATAAATAAATTCAACGATTTTTTTGGTTTAAGGGTTTTCCATAAATGAATTGTTGAATTTCTCTTCTTCTTTTTTTTTTTGCATAAATATATAGTTTTTTTTTTTGATAATTGCATAAATATATAGTTGAATTAAGTTATGACAATATCGCGAAACAAAACTATGAAAACTGCAATAATGTGATTAATTTTCATGAAAAAGTGTAGTTTTATTAAATCTGATTTCGTTCTTGTAATCTAATTTGTATTTTAAAATCTGATTTCGTTCTTGTAATCTAATTTGTATTTTAACATGTTACTATGTGATTGGTTTACAAAAAAAAAAAAAAAAAAAAAAATGTTACTATTTTGTTATGTAGACCTCTAATTATCAAACTAATGTTTTTTTATATGTAAACTGCTCATTTATTAAATGGATATGGATTATGGACAAAACTAAACCTTAAACTAATAGTATTTGTTAACTAACTTTAACCTTCCATATAATTAAAATAGACGCAACCAAAAAAATATGTTATAGAAAAAATCAGTTGCTTTGTAGTTTTATCACATTTTTAATTTTCAACGCGTTAGTAAAACAAGATAGATTTACATTTTGTCATCACTTCAGTCTCTCTTTTTTTCCTTTCTTGGTTTAAATTTGTTTTGTCGTTAGTTTCAATTTCTTATTTATGTTTTTGCCTTATAAATTTCTTAGAACCAAAACTATTTTGGTGAAGATTGTTACCGATTGAATTTGGGAGTTTGGCTCTGACCTCGATCCATAACCATAAGTGAGATTTAGTTCAAGATGGACCAAAAGATTTCATGGAGGAAATAGTGTTAGAAAACCCACATATAAAATAAGATGATGGACATATTTATCATCAATCCATTAATTGGTTTCACATTATCTACCAATAAAATATGAAAAAAATATTAGGAAATCGAAAGATGAAAAAAATACACTACTAAGGTTGAAAATAGTAAAGCTTAGATTGATCTTTTCAAACCACATATCAAAAGGGGTTTTTCAACCACCATTAGGTGAATTACCTAATCTACATGGCTAACTAACATATCAAAATTACATAAATCATAATACTTTGTGGCACGAATTAGAAATGTAATAATGTTTTAGTATGAGGAAATGGTAAACCAACCGAAAACAAAACTTAACGGACCGAATCAAACCGTGCCGGTCATCAATTCCAATTTACCAATGTAGACCGCAACAGAAATAACGGAATAAGATAATAATTTTTTGTCGTCTTTGAAAAATAGAATAAAAAAGACAAAAAAAATCGGAAATTCCGAAATTTGAAATAAATAAATAAACAAGTTCGTGTCGTAGCTCTCTGACCTGTTCCTCTAATTCTCTCATTCTTCATCAAATTCTCTGGAGCTGGAGGGTCAACCCCCTCCTTCTTCCAACCTAAACCTCTCTTTCATGCTAACTTCTTCTCAACCACCACCGTCTCCGCCGCCATGTCCCCTCTCCTCCTCCTCCTCCTCCTCACCGTCTTCTCTCTCCTCTCCTCTTCCCTCTCTCAGCCCTCTCCTCCTTCAGGTATCTCTCTCATTCTCTTTGTTCCGTTGCGTTAATTCGTGTTCCTTCCCATTTCCAATTTTGTGATATTTCTAATTTTACAATTTAGCGATTCTGATCGATTGTGGCGCCTCCTCCTCCTCCGTAATCGACGGCCGACAATGGCAATCCGACGAGAATTTCGTCTCCAGCGGAACACCAAAGAACGTCTCCGATCAAGTCCTCGACGAGATTTTATTCACCGTCAGATCTTTCCCTCTTGACCTCGACGGAACTCGTCACAAGTTTTGCTACGTGATGAGCGTTTCTCGTGGCTGGAAGTATATGATCAGGACGACATACTATTACGGAGGAGTTAACGGTAAAGGTACTTCGCCGCCGGTATTCGATCAGATTGTCGACGGGACGTTGTGGGGGATCGTCAATACCACCGCCGATTACGCCGATGGTCTTGCTTCTTATTACGAAGGGGTTTTTCTGGCGCAGGGGAAATCTTTAAGCGTCTGCATTGCTTCTAATGCTTATACAACTTCTGATCCATTTATCTCAGCCTTGGAGCTCGTTAGGCTTGATGGTACTCTTTACAATTCCACTGACTTTACCACGGTTGGGATGAGTCTTGTTGCTAGGCATGCTTTTGGATACAGTGGACCAATCATCAGGTATAAAGTTCACTACTTTGATAGAAATTTTGATACTTTCTCAGATTGTCCCTTGGATGCTAAATCTTTCGAAGCCAAGGCAATGTATTCACCATTATCAACATTCCTCTTGTTTAGGTTTCCAGATGATCAGTTTGATAGGTTTTGGGAGCCTTATTCGCTAAATTCGACAGTACCAAACAATAGGAAACTAGAGGTTTCTGGTTTCTGGAACCTTCCGCCTTCGAGGATATTCAACACCGATCTAAGAGCTACTCAAGTTCAGCCTTTGGAGTTCACATGGCCTCCAATGCCCTTAACAAAGGCTACTTATTATATTGCGCTTTACTTTGCTCATGATTCTGACTCCATGGGCGATGGATCCAGAGTCTTTGATGTTTCTGTCAATGGTATAACATATTATAAAGAGTTGTCTGTCACTCCAGCTGGTGCGGTTATCTTTGCGAGCAGGTGGCCTCTTGAAGGCCTCACAACGTTAACTCTAAGTCCTAGAAGTGGTTCAAACCTTGCCCCTCTTATCAATGGTGGTGAAATGTTTGAGTTGGTACCTCTTGGAGGCAAAACTCTTGTTCGAGATGGTAAGACTTATAACAACAGTTAATGATTGAATTCATTTTTATAGTAGTTTGATAAGTAGGTAACTGCTGATAACATGCTGAATTTGTGTTTCTTCCTTCTGCAGTAACTGCTCTGAATGCAATTAAAAGCAGTTTCAAGAATGCACCAGCTGATTGGAGTGGGGATCCTTGTTTGCCTAAAAATTACTCGTGGTCTGGAATTACCTGCTCTGATGGCCCCCGAATTCGTGTAGTCGCTTTGTGAGTTGGACTTTTGCCAAATTGTGTCGCCTATTTTTTTTAATGCATCAGTTTGAGATTTACTGACACTTTTCTAATTCATTGTTGTTCCAGGAACTTGACTAATATGGGCGTTTCAGGTTCGCTAGCACCTGCAGTTGCTAAATTAACAGCATTGTCCTCCATGTAAGTACTTTGACCTGTGAACAGTTAGTTTTATGCCTGAACGTCAAAAAACATCAATTGATATTGTGTGTTATGAACAGTTGGCTGGGAAACAATTCTCTCTCAGGAAGTTTACCTGACTTCAGTTCACTCAAACGGCTGGAATCATTGTGAGCTGATATTTAGTTTATTTCACTACCTGTCAACAACGTTAGGCTGCTACTAAACAGAGACTCATAAGCTAATCTTATCCCTTTTTTCTATGTACAAGGCACTTTGAAGACAATCGTTTCACTGGAAATATTCCTTCATCTTTAGGTGGAGTGCCACACTTGCGAGAGCTGTAAGTTTCCATTCTCATATTACCATATACACAGTCTTTTGATAATTGGTTTAAAATTTAGTTGCTTCTCTAGAATAAGTTGCATATTGTCTGCTTTTTTGCTCAATATTCTTGCCTTGTGGATGGAAAAGACATAATACCTTATATTTATTCTTCTTGTTTTTGGCATCAGCGCTTTTGTCTTTTAGCATTGCTTTTTAAGATTCAAAGGGCATTATCAACTGTATACATTTTAAAGTATACCAGCATAACAATAATCATGTCTCTTTATATACTCTGTTTAATAGTTCCGATACTCAGATTATTGAACCTACATGTCTTTTATACATCATTGCATTGTCGTCATTTTGTGGCCATGAGCATGAATTTCTGACTGATCTATGTCTGATTTGTGGATTATTAGGTTCTTACAAAACAATAACCTAACTGGCCAAGTTCCCAGCAATCTTCTTCAGAAGCCTGGACTGAACCTAAGGTATTTTAACCATCCATATCTGAGTAATGTCTCATCTTGAATTGGCTAATACAAATACTATCTGATTCTTTATGCTTCAGGACTTCTGGTAACCCCTTTTTGACTCAACCGTCACGTTGATTCGGCCTTCTAAGAAGAAGAAGATGACAATGAATTGAGCTTGTGTTATAATTTTGTAGAGCTTTGTGTGTAAATTAGAAGCCTCACGTGTACAATCTATTTAACATATCTTAATGCTTCATTCTTTGAACACTTTGGGGGATAAGAGAAATACTACTGATTGCATGGGTTGTATCATTCTATTGTGTAATGAAAGCGTACATTGTAATATGAATCTTGTGATAAATGGAGTCTGTGTTTTCCTTAAATCAAAAATATTGAGGTCAGTGCTGATTTCCTTTCACTATAGATCCAGTCTTTGGTCATTAATAAGATATTTCACCTGAAATCATACTAGAAGATATTTCTTTGATCAATATCTATCGATATGCTTTGATGTAACAAAAGTACAAGAGAAATGTGAAGGACGAGAGCTGTATTTCTGTAAAAGTGGAGCCCCAATTCCAAAATAGTGAAGCAGAAACAATTGGTGCAGAAAACATCTGAATCTTGCATGTGCCCATCAGTCTTTCATCTTTCATTTTCTCATCATTAACTAACAAACAGATTACCCTGCTTTCTATTTCGCTGTCTCATCATTTTTGTTTTTGACATTTACTCTCTTGTCTCTCACATCTCACATCTCAACATGCAACAAATCTAAATCACATCTTAATCTTGTCATGTTATTTATACTTTTGGATCCAACAAGAAAAAGAAAATGGAGATGAAGAACAGAGGAACGGTTGTTACTCGAATTTCTTAACATTGTCACACAATAGATCTCAAGCCATAAAGCATACACATAATACATCTGAAAACATCACTTAATCACATGCATTAGACCATAGGAGAAAACAGTCGAGAATACGAACAAATCAACCAATAATTGCTTTTCAATCCAAAGAAGCTCAAATCTTCTAAGTGCGTCGCTCTACTCTGTTTTTCTTAAGCGCAAGAGGAAACAGAGGAGGCAAAGGAAGAGAGGATTTAGAAGGAGTGCAAATAGGAACATGAATCATCGGCCTTATCCTCATACTCGCCGATCTCGTTCTCTCTAATCCTTTCTTACCTCTCTTCCCTTCTTTCTCTTTCTCCTCTCTCTTCGCTGCATCCTCAAGCGAGCTCGATGATGACGTGGACGACGACGGAGACAGAGAAGACACCGTCCTCACTGCCACCGACGACGAAGACGGATTCCTCTGTTTCTTCAATCTCAAAAGCTCTTTCCAAAGAACCGTACATTTAGGAGGACGAGGAGATGGATCTTCGTCTATAAACCAACTCACTCTGTTGTCTCTATTATTAATCTCCTGATCTTTCTTCATCACTTCCACTTTACGTTTCTCTCCTTCTTCTTCTTCGTTCGTCTTCAAAGTAATGTTTTTAAGCTTCTCTGAGTGCTTTGCTTGCCAAAAAGGAAGCAACTTACCTTCGGAGAAGAGTTCATCAGCGGTAAGCATTCTCTGGGGACTCACATTTTCAGACGACAAGAACTCAAAGTCGGAGACTTTCACTGACCCTTTGACGACATCTTTCTCTAACTCCTTACACATTACGGGGGTGATGCAGATGAAATCTCCACCGTCGGATAAATCAGCTGAGAAGGAAATACGAGGTCCAAGCAACGGTGGTGATTCCGTGTTTGAAACCGTCTCTGAAACCATTTCTTCTAGTTTCCCACTTGTGATGAAGATTTGATACGAGTAAGTGAATGATCTCTGCTTATAAACTTTGGTGGAAGTCAAGAATTTTGTGAACAAATCGTGGTATAGACGTGTGACTGATTGATTCTTGTCTATTTTAAGAGAAGAGAGAGTTCGAGCTAGTGGTGGACTTTGAGATGATGGAGATAATAAATAAAAAGGAGAGACAGAGAGAAGAGGTCTGAATAAGGAGAAACAGAGTGAGTTAATTATTGTGATAAAATGAGTTTAAGATAGTACTAATGAGGAAGACGACCACATGGACACGTTGGGGGGAGACACAAGGAGACAAATTAGAGACATGTAATTAGAGTTGTGATTTTAAAGCCTGTTGGAGATTAAGAATAGAGCTGGGCCATGCAACTGCTTAATTATATACTAGCTAGTATAATTACATCGATCGAGATTACTTATAAAATAAGATAGTTACTAGTTAGATAGAGAAAAGATTGGATCAGTCAATGGGAGTTGGAATTAACGAGAGAGAGTAGAGTGCATGAAGGAGGGTAATAAACAGCCTCGCGTCTTTGCATGTGATTAAATTACACACGTCTATTACGTTTGAATCAAGAAGAGACGATATTACGTTTAGCGTTTCTATTATTGCTGATTCTAAATACGAATTTTTTTTTTAAAAAAAGATCCAAATATAATATTTCATGATTTTTGAGATGATTTGTTGACATTGTTTTCTCCAGAATGCTGCATGACTTTTGTCTATGGCTTACGAGGATTTGACGACTTGCAATATTTATTTTTTTAACATCGCAATATTTTATAAGTTTATATTTAAACAAGGAAAAAAAATATCTTTATAAGTTTAGCACAAATAATTTCCTTTTTTGACTGTCAAAAATTTACTCATTTTTTTTTCCTGTAAAGGATAAAGTCACGAGTCCAAAAGTACCTGCAGACAGCTTTAAAAGTATACTCATTTCTTTTAAAAATATTTCTATTTATATATAAATGAAAATTTTGTTTTTGTCCACAGAGTATATTTCACAATATAAAATACTAATAGCAAACTATATTGGGTATGGACAAACAAACAGACAATAATAATTTGAATGGGGTACATATTGAAGTAATATGATATAAGAAATAAATAAATCGAAGTAAAATACTTGAAAGCACGTTGAGCTGCGGGTTTCTTGGTGTTGGACCACTCGTTTTGGTTATAGTTTTCTTCCTTTTTTTTTGTATGTCAACGTTTTGGTTCTATAGTTTAGCCTGATGATTATCTTATGTGAGTATTAATTTACTTTAAAAAGTAGTATTAATTTACTTTAAAAAGTAGTATTAATCAACTCCAAATTGCTTCTTTTCTCTCTTATTTTTCGGCTAGAATGTAAATATGTTAAACGGTATCGTTTACTTTTTTCTGTTTTGTAAGAAAAGTCATGTTTAGGTCTAAACACGTCTCATATGCAAACTGAAAATGAATTTGGAGGTCTATTTTGAAATTCTTTAGAGAGTATTGAATAAAACACAGTAGTACTTTTAAAGCTTTTCCGAGGCTTTGGCCACAAAATATTATCATTTGTATAGAAAAATGTTATCACCATATGTTTGCTCTGGTAATGGGTTTATGAGGATTACAGAACCAATGTTGGAAATACTTTTTGGTAGATGCACTGAAAAACCTTTTCCCAGACAAGAATTAGAGGCGTTATTAAAAAAAAAAAAAAAAAAGAATTGGAGGTCCAAAAGATGATATGGATTCCACGGTGACTCAAATACAATGGGCCTTTACAGATTAATTATAAGTCCCACATGTCTCAACTAGAGCAAGGCGTAACGTTAAAAAAAATAAAAGAACATCTAAACGAGACAACGATCCCGTTCAACAACGATTTTCATCTTCGTTCTTTAAATATTGAAAATTTACTTAAAATAAACAATTAAGTATAAGAGAAAATTTTATTAATTAGGTTTTTAGTTTTGTAAAATATTGAAATCTATTAGAACAATTTAAGAGTATATATAATGTAGAAACTGATATGATATACCCATATTTGACTCCTAAGTCGTCATAACAGTTTTCAAATCATGTTAAAAAGATTGTTTTTTTCCATTTCAAATCGGTTATAAGTTATAACTGATGATTTGTTTTTTTACAGACAAAGACACCAAATAGATACACCGAAAAACTTTTCTTGGTTAAAAACTTTATAACAAATTCTGGAAATAAAGCCACTAGAAATTGATACTTGATTAGATTTGTTATTCAGTAAAAGACCGGAAATTATTTGTTTTTTTCCTACCTTAGATTATTCAATCATAAAGAAATATTTTCACCAAATAAACAAAAATTTGATACCATTTGAACCAAATATTTCTTTTTAAATATATGGATCTCATATGGAATATGAATACATATACAAGCAAAAAAATCTTAAAGTAATCAACCAGTCAAACTTTAGGTGACTATGATCTAATTAAAGAATAAAAAAAGAATAAGATAAAGAAGAAAAAATCTTTAAAAAATAAATAAAAATTTAAGTGGCTATGTTTTGAGAGAAATAAATATTCAGCCAAGGAAACCATATCTGCCAAATTAATCAAGTTTGACTTAACAATAACATGTGACCAAAAGTACAACAATAACAATAACAAAAAAAACATCCGCCTAATTACTGCCATAAATGATAAAATGAATTACAGATTGTAATCCGTTATGGACAGCTCAATGTCTTCACACTCCATCTTCTCTATTTATCCATCTTTCTATGAATATGTGTAAAACCTAAACATTTTACATACAAAACTATAACCATGTCCAAACGACGCATTTGCTGCATAGTTTCCGCAATCATTATTGTCCTCTTCGCCATCTTCATGGCCGCTTTGATCCTTGCGCAAGTGTTCAAACCAAAACATCCCATTCTACAAACCGTCTCTTCAACTGTTGATGGCATATCTACAAATATATCACTACCATATGAGGTCCAACTAAATTTCACTCTTACACTTCAGATGCTGCTCAAGAATCCTAACGTTGCGGATTTTGAATACAAGACAGTGGAAAACTTGGTTTATTACAGGGATACACTAGTGGGAAATCTCACTCTTCCTTCGAGCACATTACCTGCCAAAGGCTCAGTGCTTTTGGCATGTCCTCTTTTTCTTCAGCTCGATAAATTTGTCGCGAATTTAGGTGATATCGTGCAAGATGTATTGCATGGAAAAATTGTGATGGAGACAAAGGCAAGAATGCCAGGAAAAATCACGTTGTTGGGAATCTTTAAGATTCATTTGGATTCAATATCGCATTGCAACCTCGTACTTGGCTTTCCTTCGATGGAAGTGGTGGATCAAGTGTGTGATCTCAGCACTAAGCTGTAAATAGTTCAGGTAAACATAGGCTTAAGAGGGCAGATTACTAGTTTCCTGTAATAATAAAGATTGTAGTCTTCATCATTGTTCTTTTATCAACTCCGTTTTTGTGAGTTCTTGAAATTAAGTGTAATCTTTTGAATTTGAAATAATGAATTTGATTACGATGAAAGAAAAAATCTGAAATATTTAATTTTACCTCCATTTGAAAAAAGAAAAAAATGGAAAGACTCTAAGAAAAAAGAAATATAGAGTTTTGGGCATAAAAATGCTAAACCTATGATTTTTTTTTTCTTCTAAACCTATGATTTATGAATTTATGAGACAAATCGAACTTGAAAATAAGATATGTGTGATCAAGATCAAAAGAAGAAAAAAATATATATCCATACCAAAATAAATTGTAACCAAATATATTATATTATAGAAAGCGGTATTCTCAACTTTTTGTATACCATTAACTTTTTATCTTTTATTTTTTTCGCTGAAAATTGTACCATTTTGTATATATATATCATATATTTTTTTTTACAAGTAATCTTTTTGTACGGTTAACTCTTAGAGTTATTTCTTACAGCTTCTAACTACTAATATATCATTCGTTTTTCTGCTGAAATCTATTTGATTCATTATTAGAAGTTCTGATTTGTGAAAATATTATTGTTTTTATCATAAGTGTTAGTTACTTTAGTTAGTGTATTTTTTTTTCACAATAAAATTTGACGAAAACTTAAAAACACGAAATCAACGGATAGCGACATGATCAAAAGAGTTAGAAAAGCGTGCCTCCTTTTTTATCTTTCTTTCGGATCATTCTCTTCTCTCTGATTCCGAATCGGTTAATTATTATTATGGATTCTTCTTCTTCCTCCGCCGCCGCACGCCGCCGCATCAACGCTATCCACTCTCATCTCGTCACCTCTTCTCGCTCTTCCCCTCTCCTCCGCTCCAATCCCACCGCCGGCGAGTTCTGTCTTGGTCCGTATTTCCTCATCTCTCTCTGTCTGATTTACTAGTAGCTTCCTCTCGCTGCTGATTACTTGTATCCTGATGATCGCAATCAGATAATGGCTACAGTGTTGTTCTCCCCGAGAAATTGAATACTGGCAATTGGAACGTCTACAGGTTCTTTACGCTTCCTCTTCTTCTCTATTCATTCTCAACTTTTTCGTTTATGTTTTGAATTCAATTTTTCAGATCTGCAAAGTCTCCGTTCAAGCTCGTTAGCAGATTCCCAGATCATCCTGACATCGCTACTCTCCATGACAATTTTGAGTATGAATCGGAATCCTTCTTCTTCTTAAGCTGCATCATCTTCTATTCTGATTGCTACTGGTCTTGGTCTATGTAGGCATGCTGTTCATGATTTTCGGGATTACAAGTATTTAGGAACTCGTGTTCGTGTCGACGGAACTGTTGGAGAGTGAGCTGCTAACTTACTAAATTTATGTTTATATGCTTTCTTTTTTTGGCTTTCTGCAAGAAAGTACTCTTTTTGAAGCTAATTTTTCTTCTGTGACTCTGGTTTAATCCTTCTTTTTAGCTACAAATGGATGACATATGGAGAAGCTGGTACAGCAAGAACTGCTTTAGGTTCGGGTTTAGTTCATCACGGAATCCCCATGGTAAATTATTGGATTCTTACTCTCCTTCCTGATTGATCTTGAATTTTGCAGCTTGACTCAAGTCTCTGTTTTTCTTCTACCAGGGATCATCTGTTGGAATTTACTTTATCAACCGCCCCGAGTGGCTCATCGTTGATCATGCTTGTTCTTCTTATTCTTATGTGTCTGTTCCTTTGTATGATACTCTTGGTAAGTATCTGGTTGCTTCGGCGTAGTAATTCCATTGTACAATTCTTAGGGATGTTCTAATTGTGTTCTTTTTATTTTCTCAAGGTCCTGATGCTGTGAAGTTTATTGTCAATCATGCAACTGTGCAAGCCATATTTTGTGTGGCAGAGACTTTAAACTCTGTAAGTTCATCAATCTGCTGCTTTAATTTCCTTCTCTTTTTTCGAAATGCTTACTTGGATGATAGTGAGATTAAAAAAAAGAACATTTTTAGCCCTTACTCAAATGATGTGTATGTTGCTGACTGTTTTCCTCTAATTGCTCGAACTTAAATGATCGTTTTCTGACTTCTTTTTTGCTTGCTTTCCTGTTTGGGTTACTGCTGGAGATTTCAGTTACTTAGCTGTTTGTCTGAGATGCCAAGTGTACGCCTGGTGGTGGTATGAAGAAACCTCAAATTTTATTATTCTTTTGAGTATTGTGACTACAGTTTCCAAATTAATTTTTTCTTCTCTCTTTTCGTGATCCTTCTCATGACCAAGTAGGTTGTTGGAGGGTTGAATGAATCTTTACCCTCTCTTCCCTCATCAACAGGAGTGAAAGTTGTATCATATTCGGTGTTACTGAATCAGGTACTTGTATGATTTTGTCATTCAATATCCGTTTCCTAAAGATAAGCAGGATTAAGGACATTTTATCATTTAAGATATTGCAAGTTCTTACCAGTGCTATTATGAGTCATATCTGTTTATTACCAACCCGGGTTTCATCAACATATATACAACACTGGGTACATAGTAGTCATATATGCACAAGTGTACTTCCACATCATTACACTTTTACGTATCACTCGAAATCATTTTATATCAGGACTACTCTACATGTCCCATATATCCATAATAGTTTTCTCATTGAGATAATATAGCCACCCAGTATTTTTCTCGCTGATAGCAGAACAGTTGTGGTACATGTTGGTTTCCTTGTTTTCTGACCAAACAAATTTGTTTCAGGGTCGTAGTAACCCTCAGCGGTTTTTTCCACCAAAACCCGATGATGTTGCAACCATATGCTATACAAGCGGAACAACTGGGACACCCAAGGTTTTGCTTACTTGAAATTTTATCTTCAAATTTAGGATAATACTGTTCTTTATTTCATATTTACCCTGACTATAGCATCTAACTTACTGTTTATTTGATCCTGTATGTCTCATTCCTCCCTGGCCTGCACTTCTTCTGGATGAAATATGTTAAAGGGAGTCGTATTAACTCATGCAAACTTGATTGCGAATGTTGCTGGCTCCAGCTTTAGTGTGAAATTTTTCTCGTCAGATGTGTAAGTGCTTTACTTCTTTCTTTTGATAGTTGAAACGTTTTCAATGTTCTTCTTTGTATCTATCGCTACATGTATCTTAATTCTTAAAAATTTCCATTCTTAAGTGGTCTTTGTTTCAGGTAGACTATTAGTAACTAATTTTGTCATAATTTCTTATACTTTTCAGTTACATTTCGTATCTTCCACTGGCACACATTTACGAACGAGCTAATCAGATCCTAACAGTGTACTTTGGAGTTGCTGTTGGATTCTATCAAGGGGTTAGAAACTGAACCATGATAGACCTATGCACCTGTGATGTGGTCTTTGCTTATACTCTTCCCCCACTTTCAAACCCCTTTCTATTAATTTAATTGGACGAAACGCTTGCAAAATTTTCTGCAGGACAATATGAAACTACTGGATGATTTGGCTGCTCTGAGACCTACTGTGTTCAGCAGTGTCCCTCGATTATACAATAGAATATATGCTGGGTAATATAATGGCTTTGGTTTGTTGATATGCGCTCTCTGCTGCTTTTGAGGATTCACTGAATTAATGTAAAATTGTTGTTTCCCAGTATCATTAACGCAGTAAAAACCTCTGGTGGGCTGAAAGAGAGACTCTTCAATGCTGCCTATAATGCAAAGAAGCAGGCTCTCTTGAATGGTAGGTCCTGTCAAACTTATTTACACTAAAAGCAATCTGTGCAATTCTGTAGCTTTATTTTGTTTTTTCTGACACAGCTAGGGACTTTGATTACTGTTGAGTTCTAAGAGATGATAAAAAGTTTGCCTTTATACAGTTTTGGGCTTGATTTACTTTGTATGGGTACTGTTGATTCAGGAAAGAGTGCTTCTCCCATATGGGACAGGTTGGTATTTAATAAGATAAAGGACAGACTTGGAGGGCGGGTTCGTTTTATGACGTCTGGTGCTTCACCTCTGTCTCCTGAAGTGATGGAATTTTTGAAAATGTAAGTTTACTGCATTTAAAATATTGTGTTGTCATACTATACAATAAACTTCATCCTCAAGAATGGACACTTCTCAGTCCCCACCAATCCCTCTCTCTCTCTCTCCCTAGCTCATGCATAATTACAGTAGCTTTGGTTTCACATAACTTTGTTTGACATTAGCTTTGATTTTCTTTTATCTCTCGATTTAATCTTTGGCATATGACTACTCCAGATGCTTTGGAGGAAGGGTAACAGAGGGATATGGAATGACTGAAACATCTTGTGTTATAAGTGGAATGGACGAGGGTGATAACCTCACTGGACATGTTGGCTCTCCTAATCCAGCTTGTGGTGAGCTTTATACTGACTCTGCGATATGATAAGTAGAGTAATTTGGAACCAAATATCCAATTTAAATTGCTTTAGGATTTAATATGCATTCCTTTTTCAGAAGTAAAGCTTGTGGATGTCCCGGAAATGAACTATACATCAGTGGATCAGCCCCATCCCCGTGGCGAAATATGTGTTAGGGGTCCTATAATTTTTAGAGGCTATTACAAAGATGAAGTTCAAACGTATGAACACCTACTACATTGGAAATTCCTCTTGCCCTTACCAAAGTGTACGAAAAATTTAATCATTTCAGTAAAATATATAATTTTCAGGAAAGAGGTGATTGATGAAGATGGATGGCTTCACACTGGAGATATAGGTCTGTGGCTGCCGGGAGGACGTCTCAAAATTATTGACAGGTTTTCCCAAAATCACTTGATTGTTATCAAATCTCTTGGCTCACAAAGAATAAGCCTTTTCTTACTGATGATACAAACACTAAGGAATAATATCTGCAAAAGTCGAGGGAGTGCAAAGCTCTAGTCTTGGGTTACATTTCTGGGGACTTGTTGGTATCTGTTGAATTGAGAATCATCTGAGTAAAATTTCCTCATTCTTTGAATAGGAAGAAGAACATCTTCAAACTGGCGCAGGGCGAGTATATAGCTCCAGAGAAAATTGAAAACGTTTATGCTAAATGCAAATTTGTGGGCCAGTGCTTTATATATGGTATAGTAAATAAATTTAGTAAATCTTTTTGTTTAGTATATGGTTTATCCTTTCCCCATCTTACCTGTTACCATTTTTCAGGTGATAGCTTTAATTCATCATTGGTAGCTGTTGTATCGGTTGATCCAGATGTGCTGAAAAGCTGGGCTGCTTCAGAAGGCATTAAGGTGGCATAACTTCCTTCACAAAATTCTCTAAATGTAACATTAGAAAAGTAGTAACTTTCTACCACTTTGCTGAATGTAGTATGGAGGAGATCTGAGAGAATTGTGCAATAACCCGAGAGTGAAAGCAGCAGTACTATCTGACATGGACACTGTTGGAAGAGAAGCTCAGGCAATACATCTCAGAAAACATTTTTCTTTATCTGTTTATTTCATCAGTTAATTACTATTCTCAAAAACACGATCATTGATTTGGATAATAAAAATATTTGCTGCAGTTGAGAGGCTTTGAGTTTGCAAAGGCTGTGACATTGGTGCTGGAACCATTTACTCTGGAAAATGGCTTGTTGACTCCGACATTCAAGGTAAAATCCTTATATGAATATGCTTCATTCAAACTAGGTTTCAAAGATAAATTCTATAATAGCTTTTGGAAAGGTTTGTTCGACATGGTTTTAGTTCAGATCGATTTGTTCAAATTGAAAACCCCTAGTTCCACTCCTATAATTAGTGTGGTTTAGTAAAGAACATTTTGTTTCTCGTAGAAAATCTTGTAAAAGCATATCTGGATTGGATATGGGATAATTAGGAAACCAATTATGAGAATATGGATTGAGGCAAAAGGATTTGATTGAATATTGCAGATTAAGAGACCACAAGCAAAGGAATATTTCGCAGAAGCAATAACAAACATGTACAAGGAGCTTGGTGCTTCTGATAAAGGTTTGTGATGATGGTATAATCGTGTGATCAATAAAAAGCCTATTCAAAATTTGTTTTTCCTAAATGTTTATCCCAAATTGTATTCTTTTTTGTTTTCTTGCTACATATTTATTGAATAGTAAAGGTAATAAAGGTGCTACATTAATGAAACTTTTTTACAATGTTTTCCCTGTGTAATAAAAAGGCAAAACATTCCCAATTCTGTTTCGTTGCGGATTATTCGGGCCTACCACGAGACGACTATCTCTGTCCGAACGCTGAGTATATAAAGATACATTGATTAATTACAGCAAAATATCCACCCTTGGATTAACTAAATGATAATCTCTCTATGATTATACCCAAAAGGACCAAAACCCAAAACTACATATCCAAATAGATTAAGGTAATGGAACAATCAACTTTAAAGGAATTATAGTCTGCTTTGCTTTAGTTCAGTTATATTTTAGCTTGGTCTTGATTTTACATATGTAATTGGGTAAATCCGACCATGTCTGGATTAAGAAAGGAAAAAAAAATGTTAAAAGAAAGGCAAATAAATATTAAATTTCATAGAGAATAAAAAAAGATGTGATATGATTGAATCATTTTCTGAAATGCATATTTTAAGTAATTAAACTAAATTAAAACTTGGCTATAAGTTTTTAGTTGAATCGGTTTGGTTAACCGGGTTAAATACCCTTGAGCCAGATGTGTTGGTACTTGGTACAGAAAGATTTGACTGTTTAACCCAAAATTATTAGGAGAGTGAAATAGAAAAAGAAAAAGATTTGAGATCCAAAAACTATTCACAGACCATACAAAAATCCGTATATCTCGCCCTTTCTATTTCGAAACACAATCCCATTTTTAGACAAGTCTGAATCTCACAGTTTGGTCATGTGTCTCTGTCATGTCTTTCATCACTTATAAATACGTGATCTCCTTCATTTTCTTATCCAACAGGGTCTGTCATTTCAAGCAGGGTCTCTGTCTCCTTCAGCTTCCTTCATGTTTCATCTTTAGCTTACACAGACACACACTCACACACACATATACAAACACTTATATATTTCACATATATACTGAGTTTGCGTGGTGGTGTCTGCTCGAGATTTAGTTCAACATGGCTGTTGTTGTTTCTAATGCTAATGCTCCGGCCTTTGAGGCCAAGATGACTGTCTATGTCTTCATCTGCGTTATGATTGCCGCTGTCGGCGGTTTGATCTTCGGTTACGACATAGGAATTTCCGGTTTATTCTCTTTCTCTGTACCTAATTTCACTTACTTGCATATCAATAAACAAAATAAGTATAACTTGTATCTCAAGTTAACTGTTCTTGGTTTGCTTTTAGCTAATGTTAATGATCTGTGACTAAAGGTGGAGTAAGTGCGATGGACGATTTCCTGAAGGAATTTTTCCCGGCTGTGTGGGAGAGGAAGAAGCACGTACACGAGAACAACTACTGCAAGTACGATAACCAGTTCTTGCAACTATTCACCTCGTCCCTTTACCTAGCTGCCCTCGTGGCCAGCTTCTTCGCTTCCGCCACCTGTTCTAAACTTGGACGCAGGCCGACTATGCAGTTTGCTTCTATCTTCTTCTTGATTGGTGTCGGTCTCACTGCAGGAGCCGTTAACCTCGTCATGTTGATCATTGGAAGACTCTTCCTTGGCTTTGGTGTCGGATTTGGCAATCAGGCAGTGCCGCTTTTCCTGTCTGAGATTGCTCCAGCACAGCTCCGAGGAGGTCTCAACATTGTATTCCAACTCATGGTTACAATCGGAATCCTAATTGCCAACATTGTCAACTACTTCACTGCCACGGTCCACCCTTACGGATGGCGAATTGCTCTCGGTGGAGCCGGAATTCCCGCTGTTATCCTTCTCTTCGGTTCACTACTTATCATTGAGACGCCCACAAGCCTCATCGAGCGCAACAAGAATGAAGAAGGAAAAGAAGCCCTAAGGAAGATCAGAGGAGTTGATGATATCAATGACGAGTATGAGTCTATCGTCCATGCCTGCGACATCGCGAGTCAAGTCAAGGACCCTTACAGGAAACTGTTGAAGCCTGCTAGTCGCCCACCGTTCATCATCGGAATGCTTCTCCAGCTTTTCCAACAATTTACCGGAATCAATGCGATTATGTTCTATGCACCGGTTTTATTCCAAACTGTTGGATTCGGAAGCGACGCAGCTCTTCTCTCTGCGGTTATCACCGGAACAATCAATGTTCTCGCCACATTCGTTGGGATTTACCTCGTTGACAAAACCGGCAGGAGATTCCTTCTTCTCCAATCTTCCGTTCACATGCTCATCTGCCAGGTCCTTAAATATCACTCATCTCTTTGTTTCTTATATGTCAAGTAATTTGAAAAGTAGGTTTCTTGTCCCAGAAGTAATCTTCTAACACTAACAAATCTCTTCAAACAGTTGATCATTGGAATCATCCTAGCAAAGGACTTGGGTATAACGGGAACACTCGGGAGGCCACAAGCCCTAGTAGTGGTGATCTTTGTGTGCGTTTACGTGATGGGCTTTGCATGGTCATGGGGACCCTTAGGATGGCTAATTCCTAGCGAGACGTTTCCTCTAGAAACCCGTAGCGCAGGATTCGCTGTTGCAGTCTCGTGCAACATGTTCTTCACTTTCGTAATCGCTCAAGCCTTCCTATCGATGCTTTGCGGGATGAGATCTGGAATATTCTTCTTCTTCAGCGCTTGGATCATTGTGATGGGACTGTTTGCGTTTTTCTTCATACCAGAGACAAAAGGAATCGCCATTGATGACATGAGAGAGAGTGTGTGGAAGCCACATTGGTTCTGGAAAAGGTATATGCTTCCAGAGGACGACCACCATGACGTTGAGAAGAGAAATGCTTGAAATCACAAGTCTCTGTTGATTTGTGTTTTTTTCCCTGTTTCTGTATTTTTTTTTTTTTTTTTTTGGGTATTCTTTGATTCTTTCGTACTTCTTTTGTTTCGTGGGAACGAATAGTTCAATAAGACCAACTTGTTGATTCAGGTTAGGTATTATCAATGAAATTCCATGGAAATAAAGTTTTTGAAAATCACATTCTTGATTACTACTATTTACATGTTCTCATTATTACTGTTTTCTCTTTGCTCAATGTCTACCTACCAAACTCAATGTAAGATATTTGAAAGTTTTGATGGTTTCAAACTCTGATGTTAAAATATTGTAAAATTTACATCAGAATAGTAAAAAAGTTTTAATTTCGTTAGAAAAAATCATTAGGGCTCTTTGTATCTTGGTACTTTAGTTTTCCGTTAAAAAATTATCTGTTTTGCTGTATCAAACGCAGGGGGAACAAAACCAAACAAGCAATCCGGTTTAGGCTTAAATAACCGTGAATCATATAAACCAAAGCTATTTGAACCACAACCCTCTGTTCCTACCAGCGTCTTATAATGCTACTTAAAAAAGATAAACAAAAGATTTATCACTCAAGATCTCTAATCTACTCTACTCGCCAAGTCAAAATGCAAAATCTTAAGATATGAAGGGAGCTTCAAGTTTCACAAACATTACTATACTAAAATAGCAACAAACCAAAAAAAAAAAAAAAAAAAGAGAGAAGATTATGTTGGTGAGACCAATATTTCTAGTCGGGAAGTATTTGCTCGTTCTCTGCATCTCCTTCTGTCTCAATGGTAGGCTTTGTCGGTCCAGCTCCAGGAGCTTGCTTCTTCTTGATACCACTCACTATATCATCAATCCTGAGAAGCATACACGCAGCTTCAATCGCTTATTAGCATATCTAAGTATATAGAGTTTTACTAAGTCTCCTTTAGCTTAGTTTAATTCCATATACACATGTACATATAAATACTCAATGTAGCTACTATGATTCATTAATGAGAATTAACATTCAGATTATGAAAGTTAATATCGCTGTCTTAAACGTTTGCGACTTCACATTGTACGCATCCCATATCTAATCACAAAAGTTGAAAATGTTGAGTCTCAAGAGAAACATAGATTCACCAGAGAACAAAGCTTTTTTTTATTCTTACCTTTTTCTCTTTCATGTCAGCTATTGCACCAGTAACCCCGTCGATTCCAGTCCAAGCATTCTCACCATTTGCATGCTAATAGTACCACCAAAAAAAACCGAATCCATGAGAGAAAGATTAGGTATCTGAAACATGTACAGACGTGGGAAAAATGGTAGACGTAAACTTACTTTTCCTTGCAATGTTGTCATAGTTCTGATCACGTTAACTCCACAGTTCTGAGCTAGAGTACGTGGAATGACCTCAAAAGCTATAGCAGCTGCTTCATAAGGCCACTGTTTCAATAACATTCAAAATTAAAGCCCCCATTCAACTTTGACAAGATCACAACTATGGGCAAAGCGGTAAAAACCATAACAAACCTTTTCGATTCCTTCAATTGTTGCACTTTTCTGTTTTAAAGTGGCAGAAACAGTTAGTTCTGTGGCTCCACCGCCAGGAACAAGCTTTGGGTTCTTGATGATGTTTCTTGAAACAGACATTGCATCCTGCAGGAAGGAATGCATCAGGTATTATGATAGTGACTAGCTTGAGTAATAACTCACATTTAGTAATATTATTCCCAAACCTGAAGATTTCTTTCCACTTCGTTGAGGAGATCTTTACTTGGTCCTCTTAAGAGTACGGTACATGCTTTGGGTTCTTTGCAATCAACAATAAAGGCAAAGAAATCATCTCCTATTTTCTTGACCTCAAACAAGCCAACATTGGTACCAATATCAGACTCTTGAAGTTCATCAGGCCTATTGACAATCACAGCTCCACAAGCCTTTGCAATTCTGTTGTTGTCCGTTTTTCTCAACCTTCTGATTGCACTAACCCCAGCTTTACTGAAATAGTGACAGGCCAAGTCACTAAGCCCCTTCTCTGTAATTACTAAATCGGGCTTGAACTTTAGTATTTGCAGGCAGATGTTCTCGATGTACTCCTCTTCCAATTTCAACAGCACTTCCCAGTCCTCTTCTCTAACCAACTCGGCATTGGTTTGGTTTTCACCTTTCTTGTACTCCAGGGGGCAGTCAAGAAGAATAATCTGCGGGTTGACAATCTTTCTCTTCATTTTACCTGGAGCAACTACGTCTTTGTTAAACATGACTCCTTTGAGAACCTTGGAGTCCTCCAACTGCCCACCAGGAACCTTCTCAACCTTAATGTACTTTTTAATATCCACCTCCCTCAATCCTTGTCCAAGATCAACACCAATAGTAGTGGTGGCATCAATAGCCAAATCCTAAAAGAGCCACATAAAGTTGTGTAAGAACGTGAGCGAAATACTTTATGGCAATCCATTCAGACAGCAGGTAAAACAAGCTATATAAAGTGTCACTAGAGAGAACTTAATAAATATGTAGCTTCTAAATGTGCAGATGTCGGAATTTGTTTTGTCTTACAAGTTTACAATGGTTTATGATGTAATGCACTAAAAAACTCTATATGTTAAAAGCCAGCCCTGTGGCGCAAAAGCAAATATCTTCAGTAATTAAAATACTCACAGCAATAAGATCTCCAAATTTGCTAGTGAATTTTGTTGCTATGCAGCTCTTGACTAATCCTAGTACTGTTGCACCTGCAAAATAAATCAGCAAACATGAGCCCAATATCAGGTAAGAAAATTCAAAAACAGAGGTCAAAGAGGACTTGCGGTCATTGACATTGATTGGCATGGCAATCTATTCAAGAACAGCCATGGCATCCTCGAGAGCCTTATAATAAGCTGCAGAGAAAAAAACATTGTTCAAGTGAAAACAGTAAAAAATACAACACTGTGGAATGGTAACAATCATACGCAAGTATACCTTGGCAAATGACTGTGGAATGGTAACTCTTCTCAAGAAATGATTCAGCAACATGTAACAGTTCACCAGCTGTTGAGAAAAGAAAAGAAATCAGTGAGAGTAAAGGCAGAAGGAAAAAACATGTTGCGTTCAGAACACATGCATTTGAATCGTATCACTTAGTGTCAAACCCACAATAAAACATCACAGCAAACCTCGTGGCAGGCAATGATTTCAACAAAAGAATCATCAGATGCCAATGTACATACCAAGAACAATAACAGATGTAGTCCCATCACCGACTTCTTCGTCCTGTGTGCGACTCAACTCAATCATCGACTGAGAAAAATAAAATATCAGCAAAAGAACAGTGAGAAGGCGACAAGGACGTGCGAGAAAGAGAAGAAGTAAAACCTTAGCTGCAGGGTGAGCAACATCAATTTCACGCAAAATAGCATTTCCATCATTAGTAACAACAATCCCTGAAAATAGCAACAAACCAAGAGTTTAGAAAAACTCATAAAACTCAAAGACAGAGTATACAAATCAGTGAAGAATAAATTTTTCAAAAGGCATAAACCCGAACCTAATCCTCGTTCATTTAAAGATCTATAGAGAAGAGAAAAAACACTAATAAGGAGATACAAAGACTAGTCAGGAACCCACCTCCACCAGCATCAAGAATCATCTTTAACATAGAGCTAGGACCCAATGTGGTGCGTAGGATATCAGACACAGACTGTAAAATTGAACCCAGTGAAACCATGATGCATAGCAGAGAAAGCAAACAGAGAGAAGCAACAACTGAAAGATAAAAAGTAGAAGACTTTATTACCTTGGAAGCCTGAATATTAGCATGGTGAACCTTTGTTCCAGATTCACGCTTCAATGAATCCTCTGAACATTTCACAAAGCAATAACATTAACAATATAGAACACAAAATTAAGAGATAAAAAAAACCCAATACAGATTCAATGAAAGGAGATCTTAAAACTCACTGAGAACAAGAACTGGTGCGGTCATAACTGCGATCTAAAGCCTAGACGGCGACTCGGAGAAGAAGCTTTATAGACGGCGACGGAGCAAATTCAAAATGTGGATGCTTCTTCTTTCTCGGCTCTCACACACTCTAGTTTTCAGGTTTGTAAAAGCCCGGTAACTTTATTCTGATTGAGCCCATCAAAGCCCATCTCACGTAAAATGATCATTATTTTTTAAGTTTATATTGAACCGAAATCGAGAGCAGCCTCCTTGAGAAAAAAGACAGCAAAAGAAATGGAAACAACCTCGTAGATTATTGCAAAGGAATTTCTTCCAAAAATAATAATATTTGAGATAATTATAAGTGAAAGTGTTTACCCAATTTATAATTGACAACTTGTAATGCACGTGATTTTATTTATTGTCAAATAAATATGCACAAACTGTAATTGAATAAGAATGACCGTATTATAGTGGTTAGGGCACTTAGAGTAAGTGGCTCTATGCACTTGTATGTTTATCTTCCATCTTTCTACTTACCAAGAATCTTTTTTGGCCACTCTCCTCATGATGTATACGTAGACATCACTTATAAATTCCGTGTATTTTGAACTAATTTCAGAATTAAAACGCAATTGTTTTTTTTTTATAACAAAGATTGAAAATTCAAATATATATGAAGGTGGCCTGTAATCCAATAGTTAGTGTTATAGCTCAACTTAACATTTAGATAATTTTTATTGACTTGTGAGAAATGTGGATAGAGCACTCAAACAAAAAATAGCAATATGTCAAACATTTACCCTCTCGATCGCCTCCTTTTTTGAAACTCCAATTCGTGAATGTCATCAGCATCACATCAGTTTTTTCCATTGTTGGAGGAAAAAATATTAGTTTTTTCATTGAGGCAAAAGACGAGCTACTAATTCTAGATTTATACCACACTTAATTATTGAACTATATAAGAAAATTGCCTTTTTTATAATCATATATTTTACTGTATAAATATAAATATGCACGCAAAATCTATAGTTTTTTAGTATTCTCAAATCTCAAGTGATAAAAAATAATTATCAATTCTTTGTTTTGTTCATTCGTTAGTCGTTTAAATCAAAATAGTAGATTCAATTCACCAATGAGATGCAACCACTAAAATTTCGTACGACTCTTAGTTTAATAAAACTCCCATTATCAAAAAAAAAAAAAGTATAACTACGATGATTTATTGTGCTATATATAGTGCATCATTAGCGTGCAATATTTCTCAAATCCTTACCACAAAGCTAGAGATATAAAGAAAAGAAAAAAATACACACATAGGAAATAGTAAATACAAGAAGGAAAATAATAATAAATGGAAGGCTTTCTTCGCTTCCTTGCAGCGAAAGCCATCTTGTTGGCTTTAGCATCTTCATTTGTATCTTGTTATGACCCAAGTCCTCTTCAAGACTTTTGTGTTGCCGTCGATGACGCTAATGGCGGTAATCTCTCCTTAATATGGTTCCTTAATATCGTACTAATTATAAGAAACTATTTACTCTTTAACATTAGTTAGAAATTATCTAACTAGAAAATGAAGTGTTCGTTTATTTTACATAACATCAATAACTCTACACTTAATACAGTGTACGATTTTAATCTATTTTTCAGTTTTCGTGAATGGAAAATTCTGCAAAGACCCAAAATACGTGAAAGCTGAAGACTTTTTTACTTCTGGACTAAACATTGCCGGAAACACTATAAACCGCGTTGGCTCCAACGTTACAAACGCTAACGTTGACAAAATCCCTGGACTCAACACACTCGGTGTGTCTCTTGTCCGAATTGACTTTGCCCCGGGAGGTCAAAACCCACCACACACGCACCCACGAGCCACCGAGATCCTCGTGGTTGTCGAAGGAACGCTCTTAGTCGGGTTTGTGACATCGAACCAAGACAACAACAGATTGTTCTCAAAGGTTCTTTACCCGGGAGACGTATTTGTGTTTCCCATAGGGATGATACATTTTCAAGTGAACGTTGGGAGGACGAACGCAGTTGCGTTTGCTGGTCTTGGTAGCCAAAATCCAGGTACGATAACAATCGCAGACGCGGTTTTTGGATCGAAGCCTTTGATTACGCCGGAGATTTTAGCTAAAGCGTTTCAGCTGGATGTGAACGTGGTTAGATATCTCGAGGCAAGGTTTTCTTCCAATTATGATCGTCATTATTAACAAGTTAAGAGAATGACGGGAAAATGTACCAAAACATGAAGAAAATATTGTATTATAGTGTGTGAGAACTAAAATAAAACAATTAAGACTGTAAAAAAAGGATGAAAAAAAAGAGATGTGTCTTTTATAGTTTGATAATAAGTACAAGTGTAAAAGCATGAAACCAATCTCTAAATATAAAGTTAGGTCGTTTTTCCTTCTATTAAGTGAAGACGACTCAACATCCTCATTTTCAATATGACATTTTAAATTTTCATTTGAATCTGTTCCTTTGTTCCTAATTAAATAGAGTGTTACATAAAAACTAGTCTCTACCAACATATACAAAATTTCTCTAAGATCAATGAGCTTTCCCGATTTCTGCAGCTAGCTAATTTGTTCTTAACTTCTTAAAATAAGAATCCTCCCTTGACAAAGCGGTTGAGTACTAAGTTATGCATCAGGGATCATAAGGTAAGGACCCAAGCTTAAGAGTAAAGCAAAGACATACTATATCACTGCTGCTTCTACCACATCTTGCTACTAATATCTATCTACCAAGTAGACTGCACAAACAATACTCAACTTACCTTTCCCATGAAGAAAGCTCTGCTTTAACTCCGAGACCAACTACTGTTTTAACACAAAGGTAGTAGAGCCGACAATGCTGGTCATGAAAATTCCTCCTGGTACATCTCTCTCCCTTCAACCGCTATGCTTAAGGCAAGTATTTGGACTGATGTTAATTAGATCAATCAACCATTAGAGTTTTATAGAAATCCTCCATCTGCCGTCTTGTCTCTCTGTACAAACATACTCAAGGTATAGATGCATCAGGAAGCATCTCTCACTTTGGCAAACTTATACATTTTAGTTTCTCATTAGTCAGAATGAATATATGGTAATAAGTTGTACAATTTAGAATGGATTGTGGGAACTGAAGGCTTGATCATATGTTCCTAACAAACATTACACCAAGCTTTTTTTTTTTGTTCTAAATTTTCTGTATGGAATGACATGTACATACATTTCTATATAATAAAAAGATTTTCTATAGCAACGAGTTGATTCTTCACCTTTATTAAACTCAGCAGATTTACTCACATAAACAAAACAAAAAGAAGTGATCACTTTGATGAACAATTTGAAAGAAGGGATCCATGTTCAGTTTGCGGATGAATATGAGCAGATATTGGAGCTAGCATTCAACTATGATGACCATTAGACAAGTCTTTGACTTGGGTTTTTTTTTTGGTAAAAGGTCTTTGACTTGGGTTCTTGCTCTGTTTTCGTTTTTCATTATGTCATCGATTATTAATTCTAGAGAACAAGATATGAACATGGATTATTAGGAGGAGAAGGGCTTGCAGAGAGATGGGAAGAATGGCAGAATCTTGAAGTGACGAGACAAGAAGAGTTTCAGAGGTTGCAGAGGAGATTTGATTCCATTAATAATGAAGATGCCATAGAATTATCTGGTGGAAGATAGAAAACAAATACTTGGATTCAAACACACTGTAAAGTAGAAGAAGAAACCACTAGTTTTGGTTTCAAACGGCGTTATGTTCACTTGTGTATTTATGTTGTAACGTTTTTGATACAATATGTTTGAAGCTTTGTGACATAACATAATAATATCGTTTCATTGTGCAAGAAGAGAAATTTGTATCAATCAAAATTCACAGAATCTCTGCTGGGCTATGCTTTATAAACTGGTTATGCATTTTTGGAGGAACCAACATCATATCTATCTGCATTTTTAATCACCAAAAAAGTATTTTCCTTTTTGCTTCTTCTCTGCATACCTTATACAAAAAAACAAAATAGACCATCAGCAGAGAATAAATATCTCCATCGTATCATTATATTGATGAAACCAAAAAAAAAAACCATCGAAATAAAAAAGAAAAGGAAATAAAGCCCATTGAAAGAAAGAAAAGCAATTTCCTTTTTCTATTTGTATTAAAAAAAGGAAACATAACTGCATCCAACGGCTCTATTGAATATATAACAACATTGACCTAATTAACACTTTGCTTCTTCTATTTCTTCCTTGAGAGACAAAAATCATAACTCTCTCTTCTTCTTCTTCTTCTTATGATGATCCAACTAGTGGACATTGAAGAAGTCAAAGCCCGATGATGATGATGATCTCTGCAACATGATCCTTAAGAGTTGTTAGATTGATCGGCGTGGTAACACAAAAGAGGACCAAAAACGAATAACTATCTCATTCGCCGGAGAAACCTGAGGTTGTTCATTCTTCGACCGATCTCCACAGCGGTTAAGAGCTCTCCTTAATCCGATTTCTGTTGTTTGCTTGTTTGGATTTGATCTCCATGAATCTGTCACTACAAAGTCTTACTTTTTTCCTTTATGATATATCCGCAGGATTGCCCTGGCGTGCATAAAGATCTTCGAATCCCGGAAGAGATGCAGCTTTCACCGCAGACTACGAGGAATATAGCCAAGAGAGGTTCGCTGTTCGCATTAGTCGTCGTTTGTCTTGAGAATTGGTGCTATGTGAAGAAGTTTTAGAACAACCACGATGACGACTCCTAAGGATTTCACAATCACCAGGTATGTTTTCTTTCTTACCTTTTTTCTTTCTTAATAATAAATCATAATAATTTTGATTTCTTAAAAATAATAATGATTTTACTAAAATTTAAAACAATTTAAACACTCAAACTTTTAAAAAATATTAATAATTTTTAACTAAAACTATATTAATTTCACTATAACTTTTAAAAATTAGTTTAAGTGTTCAATTTTAAAAACGTCGAAAACTAACTGCGCCTAGGCATCCTGTCCTTAGTTCGTCCGTAAGCTTTGGTGTTCGAAGTTCGGCAGATTTTCACGTAATATAGATTTAACACTTAAACTCATTTTTAAATATTAATAATGATTTTAGCTAAAATTTATAACAAATTTAACACTTAAACTTTAATAAAAAATAATTAAATTTTTTTAACTAAAACCACGTTAATTTCACTATTACTTTTTAAAATTTAATTTAAGTGTTCAATTTTAAAAACGTCGAAAACTAACCGCGCCTAGGCATCCTGTTCTTAGTTGGTCCGTAAGCTTTGCTGTTCGAAGTTGGCAATGTTTCCACGTAATATAGATTTAACACTTAAACTCATTTTTAAAAATTAATAATGATTTTAACTATAATTTAAAACAAATTTAACACTTAAACTTAAAATTTTTTTTAACTAAAACCATGTTAATTTCACTATTACTTTTTAAAAATTAGTTTAAGTGTTAAATTTTAAAAACGTCGAAAATCAACCGCGCCCAGGCATCTTGTCCTTTGTTGGTCCGTAAGCTTTGGTGTTCGAAATTCAGCAATGTTTTCACGTAATATAGATTTAACACTTAAACTCACTTTAAAAAAATCCAAACGTCGTTTTGGGAACAATCGAAACTTCAAATCAAGATTTATCTCCAAATAAAAAAATAATCAAACCCTAATTCTAACCCTAAACGAAATTCCTAATTCTCTCCTAAATCTTTAATTCCTTTTCCCAAATCTTCAAGTGATTTGGTAAGAAATAACTCATTTGTTTCTAATTAATGGCATTTGGGAAGAAAAATTGAAGATTTTGGAAGAGAATTAGGGATTTCGTTTAGGGTTAAAATTAGGGATTTGATTTTTTGATTTGGGAATAAATCCAGATTTGAAGTTTCGATTAAGTCTAAAATGATGTCGTTTGGGGCACTAACATAATCATTAACGGTGCTAACGGAGGTTAGAGGTTCTATTAACGACTAATAACGACATGTTTGTTTTGGCCTGATCAACGAATTCTCATGTGGCAAACGGTTGGTCAACGTTTTGTTCATGTTTAAAATGACCACATGTAAAGTAGGTATTTAAAATGACCACAATTCGAAAGTTGGACTATTAAACGACATTTTTCGATTATGATCAAAACGACGTAATTTTGGGAAAACTAACAGAGTCGTTAACTCCCGTTAACGGTGTTAGAGGTTCTGTTAACGACTGATAATGTCATGACTGATAACGTCATGACTAATAACGTCATATTTATTTTGGTCTGGTCAACGAATTCACATAGTTTAAACGGTTAATCAACGTTTTGTTCATGTTTAAAATTGCCACATGTAAAATTAATGGTTAAAATGACCATAATATGAAAATTGGTCTATTAAACGATATTAATGGATTTACATGTATTAGCTAATTTTTCAGATAATCATAATTTAATTAAACATTAAAGATATTCCTTAACCTCCGCGTTTTCTTCTTCTTCTCGACTCTGCTTTGCTTTATCCACTGAGGAATTTTGAATTTCATATCAGGAAAAAGCTTAGAACCCCCGATCAGAATAATCCGGGGAGCCGTTGATTTCAGTGGGAGGGTTTTTCCGATTTCAATTTTGATCTGTGTCTGGGATTCTCTCTGTGTTGCTTTCTCATTGCGTGTAAGAAAGAGTCTTTTTCCCCTTTCAAGGGTTGATTTCGTTTGAATTACTCTCTCTTGGTGATTTGGTTTGAATTACTTTCAGATCGTTCCCAAAATCCCCTTTTATTCACTTGCTGAAAGCTAATCGAGGTTTGAATCGTGAAATTCGATTGGGATCTTTAGGGTTTGTTCTCCTCTTTAAGCTTCAATCCTTAGTCCACCAGCATCTTGACACCTCCCGGAGAATTTAGGAGGGAACTAGCTCTTCTCCAGATCTTTCGGTTCTTACCTTTAGCTCATTTTCGCATTTCCTTTGTTACAAGTTTGATCAGAACGTACTTACGAAATGTCTACTTTTGTCTCCATTCTTTTTGCAGAATGGCGGATTTGCTACCCATTTACCTCATTATCGTAGCATTTCTATGCACTGTCGGAGCCATTGCTTTGGCTTTGTTTCATATCTACAAGCACCTATTGAACTATACGGAACCCATTTATCAGAGATATATTGTGCGCATCGTCTTCATGGTCCCGGTGAGTAGTAAGTAGTAGCTTTCTTCTGTTTGTCTATCCTGATCTGTGAACTCCATTTTCATGTTGAATTCTCTCCAGCTAACATGTTATTGGCATGACAGGTCTATGCCTTGATGTCATTCTTGGCTCTCGTTTTGCCCAAGAGCTCTATATATTTTAACTCTATCCGTGAAGTGTAAGTCTTTCTGATTTTTCATATATGCTAGTGTAACATGGGATGTACTTACTCGACCTACTATACTAACTTCTCATTGACTCTTGAGAGAATACTTTTAACCTGATGGTTAAGGCTTTGTAATCTTTTTCTGTTACAGTTATGAAGCATGGGTGATTTATAATTTTCTATCGCTGTGTTTGGCATGGGTTGGAGGCCCAGGTTCAGTAGTTATAAGTTTAACTGGTCGATCTCTGAAGCCATCGTGGCATCTCATGACATGTTGCTTCCCTCCACTACCATTAGACGGGTTAGTTTGCAAAATAGAACCTACATTCTCTCTTCTTATATTGGTGGCATTTGCATATTTCTTTGATATCTCCTACGATTTTTCACTACATCTGTAAACTTCTTAAATACTTGATAAAACCAGGATTTATAGATGACTGTTTTTCAATCATTTGGTTGCATGCACTCTGTGGGTTATCAGAAGCATTAGATGTTTTTCTGTCCACATATATTATTATCATCATCATGATTTCTGTTTGAATCTCATTTATGGGGTTTATGGCCACTGTCTTAGCTTAACATTTGTTAGCTCATACCCGATTATCTTTTGATGAAGGCGTTTTATTCGACGGTGCAAGCAAGGTTGTTTGCAATTTGTTATTCTAAAGCCAATCCTAGTTGCTGTCACACTTGTGCTTTATGCAAAAGGGAAATACAAGGATGGAAATTTCAGCCCTGACCAATCCTATCTCTATCTTACCATCATCTATACAATATCATACACAGTAGCTTTGTACGCGCTGGTCCTCTTTTATGTGGCATGCAAAGATCTGCTTCAGCCATTCAATCCAGTCCCAAAATTTGTGATTATAAAGTCTGTCGTCTTTCTAACCTATTGGCAGGTAATTTGTCTTACTCGCTTGCTATCGAGTTTTGGCATTAACTTCTACCTTTTGCTATTCTCCACAAATATTTAACACATTCCTTCTGTCTGGCGTACCTGTGTAACAGGGTGTTCTAGTTTTCCTTTTTGCTAAATCTGGATTTATAAGGGATGAAGAAGAAGCAGCGCTCTTCCAAAATTTTATAATATGTGTGGAAATGCTTATTGCTGCAGCTGCTCATTTCTATGCATTTCCGTACAAGGAATATGCAGAGGCCAATGTTGGAGGAGCTCGCAGTTTCTCAGGAAGTCTGGCACATGCTCTTATGCTAAATGATTTCTACCATGATACTGTTCACCAGGTAAACGATTCGTTGTATAACACATATATTGAAATGACTAATCTAAGTCCTTTTGGTGCAATGATGATGATGGGTTTGCGGTTCTTGCAGTTTGCCCCAACATATCACGATTATGTGCTCTATAATCATAATGATGGTGGTGAGGAAGGGACAAGGAAGTACCGAGCACGAACATTTGTGCCAACTGGTCAGGAAATGGATGCTGTCAGAAAGAACAAACACATGTTTGGAAACAAGATAGATGGTGTTTCGGTCTCTAGTCAATCTTCAGAAACAAGCACACCCAAAACCTCTGGTGATCCTGCACGCCCTGAGAGCATGAAATCTTCCTTGCTGGTAGATGCCTCAGACTCGGTTTCCACAATGTATGACATGTCGCTAATTGACATCGATATATCGAGCTACCCAAGCAAGGTACCTTTTGCAAATATAAGTGGAGGACCTAAATAGTGGGTAAAATGATGTAGAATCCACCATTAACAGTAACAAAAGTGTTAGATTTAGGAATCTCTCAAGTGTGTTGTTAAGCAGGAAGATGGAGAGATATGTTTTTTTTTTCTTTGTATGTGTTATCTTGTTGTTCTTATGAGTCTTCCACTGGTATTTGTTTACTTAGCGCAGCCTCTTTCTTGTTTTTGCTTGTTCCACAATATTTGGTTTGTAGATAATATTAGGGTTTTGTGCAAAAAAACCCTCGAAGTAACCAATTTTTGCAAGAAAACCCTCCATCTCAAATAAATGCAAGTCAATACCGCCATCTCAAAAGTCACCCGCAATATAGCCCTCGCGTGTATCGATGACGTGGCAGCCGTTAACTCCGTCAGTGGGTTTTGTGCAAAAAAACCCTCGAAGTAGCCAAATTGCAAAAAAACCCTTCATTAAACCAATTTTTGCAAAAAAAACCTTTTGGGTATTTTAAAATTCGGGTACGGGTTCGGGTTTACCTATAATACCCAAAAATAAAAATTGTTGTATGTAAATCTATCCACCCTATTGTTCGTACCGAAGTTGCAATAATAAATAATTACGAGTTTTTGGGAGCGAACAGAGATATTTCTCTTATTAACGATAATCGTGCTTCCGTGATTACAGAGATGGAATTCGAGTGAACGAGAATACGAAATATACGCAAGAGTTAGCTATGATTTTTAGAGAAGTAATATATGTTTTGTCGAGGCTCTGAGCCTTACAGAAGGTGATTCCGTGCCGGGCACGTTTTTCGAGGCTCTGAGTCTTACAGAAGTTGATTTCGTGGCTTGCACGTTTTTCGAAGCTCTGAGTCTTACAGAAGTTGATTTCGTGGCTTGCACGTTTTTCGAGGCTCTGAGCCTTACAAAATATTTTGTCTCTTTTGCGACGAATTTGGGCTTTTACAGAAGATTTTCTGGTTTTACAGAAAACTTATGTAAATTTTACAGAATTCTTTTGTTAAACCCTAGATTTTTCCTTCTCCTATAAATGGCTCCACCATGTCTTACTTTGATCATGCCAATGATCAGAAATTTATGAAGATATCAAAATCGATTATTACCATATTGTTTCCTTTGCTTCCCTGTACAATCGAATTCTCCAACAATCGTTTTTTCAAAACAAACCTTGGCTACTTTGAGGGTTTTTTGCACTAAATTTGGCTACTTTGAGGGTTTTCTTGCAAAACTTGACTACTTTGAGGGTTTTTTTGCACAAAAGTTCACTCGTCGTGACGTTTTGGAACAGAGTTAACGGCTGTCACGTCATCGATACACGCGAGGGCTATATTGCGGGTGACTTTTGAGATGGTGGTATTGACTTGCATTTATTTGAGATGGAGGGTTTTCTTGCAAAAATTGGCTACTTCGAGGGTTTTTTTGCACAAAACCCATAATATTAGAATGAATATGGCATATTGGTTACACAATCTAAAAAACTCTGAATCATTTGGTGTGGAATTAGAAAGAGTTAGATAGAGTTTGGAGCTATGCGTATTGAAGAGTTTGGAGCTGTTAGTTAGGCTATCTCCTTTTATGTTCCTTTCAGACTGCGAATAATAAAATATTTCTGTTTGTGTGATATTTATGCAAACATTGTATTAATTGTAGTAGTGTACAACCAAAAATTGTTTCTTTTGTCGTGCTTACACAATTTGGTAAATTAAAAATAGAAATAAACCCAAGACCCCAGCAACAAAGCATAACAATAAACCAGAAACATTCATCTTTTGAAAAATGTCACAATCATTATGTCACTCCACATCATTTTTAAAATCATATTCCTGAAAATCAAACAAAATTCAGACTAAATTGCTAGTCCATTATTTTAAAATGAAAACAAAAACAGTCGCCATACGTATTACGTAAATATTTTAATCTACATATTAGTATAAGCAGAACGTGAACATTGAACTTTCTCAATTGATATTTTTACTTGTTGGGAAGTTAGATTAAAGTCTTACCTAGATATAGTGTATTTGATTTGACGAGACACTTTTTTTTATTTTAGTAAAAAAAAGAGAGAGAGACTCCATTAAAAGCAAAAGCAGAGAGAGTAGTAGTACGTCAAAAGGCAAAGCCAAGCCAACAAATATTTAAAGCAACAACGTGAAGCACTTGAAAACACGATTGAGATATATCCAAATCACAGACCCTATTCGTTGTAGCTACGGCGGATTTGGCGGCGGCTGCGAAGTGTTTTAGTGTTTGCAAGTTAACCAAATTAGCCATCACCGGAATCTACTGCAAGAACCCTTTTTAATATACAATTCTTTACTTTCTTCTAAAATCACAGTTCCGATGAGCAGCAACGGCGTTTGGCAGAGCAACAACGGTTACTATAGCTATGGATATGGAGGAGGATACGTGGAGAAGAGACAACTATTCCTTAAGAGCTACCAATTCTCAAGGAAACAGAGTTTAACAGAGAAGATCAAGATATCCGTGAAGAGAGTGGCGAAGAAAGTTGTTTGGATGAGGTTGAAATCTGCTAGAAGACTGAAACGCGTCGTTTGGTCACGTTTCAAAACGGCGTTTTTCTACCGCCGCAGACGTTTCTTTCGTCTCCTTCATCCAAACAAACCCTCTTCCTACTGTTTCTACTAGGGTTTCTCTTTGACTTCTTGTCTCTGTTTCTTCGTTGATGTGTGTGCATAGTTAGCTGCGTGCTTAATAAAATTAAGATTCATGTTGTTTAATTCACTTAATAATCTTGTTATGTTTAAGGATTGTGATCGAATTTTCGACTTTAGAAAGATAATCAAGATTTTTGTTTTGTGATTTAGAAAGAGACTTTAGGATACGAAAGATCATGCACGAAATGTGAACCTATCGTCAGATTCAATTAATGTTGGTATTTTTATATCAATTAATTAATTTGTGAATCATAGTCATTACACAATAACGTAAACGAGTCAGCTTCCTCTTTTCTCGTGTCCTCTTCCCCAACAAGTCAGTGATACGTTTTCGTAAGCGAGTCTGCTTTTCTTACCAATTTTGTTCCATTTTTTAAAAGATGATAAATCTTATATTGGGCCTCTTCTGGGCCTAGGTGGGTCCATTTAGTTTTCAGTGGACCTGTATCCTTGAACTGATAAGTCCCACGCGCATCAGAAGCACGTTTCTCTCACGCATTTGGCTTTCTTTGGAGTTGAAGCCAAAAAAAAGTTGGCTAACAAATCTTGATATATCTTTTTGTTAGAACTAAAAACAAAATCGAGTAGGAACATAGATAGATTTTCTTTTATGTCCGTTGATGAAACTTATATAAGTTGGGAAAAATCAGGAAATCAGACCGAAAGTGGTTAGCTAAAGCGGATACATAGTTGTGTTGAAATATATATACACATATATATATATTTATATTGTTAGAAACCAATAATGGGGATAAAAATAGCAACCAACTTATTCCTCGTCACCAATCCAATCATTGTCGACTACGTGATTTACAAATATTTTTGGACCTTTGTCTCTTCTTTTTCTTATTATTCTTCTTCTCTCCTTTGTTATTGTCACATTGGGTCAGGGATTGCCCCAAAATCATTCAGATTTTAGAAGAAATACTCTTCTCAACTAACTCTAACTCTCTTAAAATTAGTTAATTAGAGAGACTTCCAAATTCCAATCATTTGAGATATCTCCTCGTATCTTCCCCTCATTTCCCTTTTAGCTAAAGTAAAAGTGAGCATTAAATTAAAATCTTTGGTAAATGCGTTATTATCATTTGAAAACAAAACCGGAATTCCCTTTGTTCCACGTAACAAAACTAGCAAATAATAGTCACATGCAAAAGGTTGAAATATATAATCTTGTCTTTCTTCTCTTTTGACATCATATCATCTTGTTTCAAAATGGGGCATGCAATTTCTCTTATCCGGATTTTAAGTTAGCATTTGAAACTCAACTAAAAATGGAAGATGATTATTATTTCCCATTTCCGCAAAACTCCATCGTAAATTTGGGTTTGCCCAATATGCTAACTAAAACTTAATGAATCACATATCACTCCAAAACACAAAAGGATTTGTCTTCTTATATAGCAGCATCACAATCACAGCCTTAACCGCGTAGGTCCATATACAGAGCATCTGCTTATGTGGTTAAACAAGAGCTGCCCATTTTAACAGATTTTGGATATTTTTTGGGTTTTAAATGAAAAATAAAGAATAAAATCATGTGCTTTAAGAATCTTTCTTACTCTCTCTGTCTCTTTATAAACACATGCCTTAAGCCACTTCCCTCACAATCATCATCATACTGTTCTTCTCCTTATCTTTTGAAGCAAAAACACTTCTTTTTATATGACCCTCCTCTGTTTTTTCTTTTCCTAGTTTCATATCTCTTTGTTTCATTCTTAACCTTCATTAGACAGTGACTTTGTATTGTCCTAAAACAACAACAACAACAACAACAAAAATCTTTAAAAGAGACCGAGATGTTGCAGGTTGTAGGCAAGTACCGGTGGAGACAATCATATCGGTACAAGAAGCTAACTGATCAACAGGAGAAATTGACAACAACACCACCCACGACAACAACAACAACGAGGTCGTCGGCCAAAAGACAGAACTTGGGGAAGAAGAACGAGATTCGAGCAAAAGGGTTCAGAGTAAATCGGTCAAGGAAGCTGGTTCTTAAGGCATTAGCTTTGCCCACAAGGATCTTTAACATTTATATGCGCATCACAAATCAGATGAACAAAGAAGGTTTATATCCTAATCTTGTTTTCTCTTCTCATTGGGGTTTCCCTGGTCTGCTGAATTCAAGAGGTGGATTCCGTTAGTGAGAAGACATCTTATTCTGATTACTCAAAAAATAATGAAACATGCATAGAAATGTAAACCCAATGATTGCATTACATACGTGATACATACGATGTTTTCCCAAATTACAATTTGGAGGATTATATGAACAGAGTTCAAGATATTTTTCTCTTCCATAGTTCATAGCAAGTTGTTGAGTGATTCTATTAAAATCCTTATCACTCTTGATCAAATACAGTTTTAAGAAGAAGATTTGCAGTCATAAAGGACACATAACTTTACAGAAGATTCGAACTTAACAAAATAGGATGTGATGATTTGTGACAATCATAAGTCTTGTCACAAATAAAGATAAGACTTGGTCAGACAATAAAGAAAGGGTTTAAAGAAACACTAGAAACATGTCAGTACAAAAAAGAAACAACTAACTTCTTTTGTTGCAACCATGTTATAAAGGAACTAACTTCGTGGTACATAAAGGAAGGAAAAAATCGGCGTTTCAAGTCCTCATGTATGAATGATTTGTGAAAGCCCAATTTTGCAATATTTTGAAAAGCTAGAAAATACTATATATGAGGAGATTGGTACAAATTAAGGAAGATGTGGTGCGGCGTGAAACAGCAAAAGAACATGATAACCTTACCAAGATTGTGAGGTATCTATATTGCGAGAAAACACAAAATTTTAATCATGTTTTTTCGATTGATACATACTATTTGAATCACATCAGTATAGAGAAGTATATTAGCAATAGTGTTTTCTAGGTTTATAATTTGATATAAAAGCATATATATATATATATGACAATGTGAGTCAAGGAGGGACTTGGAAAAAGCTAAGATGGAGGCAGAAAAATGAGAGAATGTAAAACCAAAGGTGATGAGTGGGAGAATGTTTTATATGTTGTGTCTAATTGGCTTAACAACTAATTGTTTGAACGCAAAAAATGTTTTATAGAGCCTTTGAACGCAACTCAAACTATTGAAAGCTTTGTTGATTCCCTTGTTTTAAACTTTTAAACGGTAGAATATTTGAATTTAGCGTATGATATTTACGTACTCACAAACGCTAAACACAGATACCCTGGTTTTGGTGTTTTAAATTAATATTTTTGGATTCTAATGCTAAATGATACTTGTTCACTTGGGAAAAAAAAACATATTAAACGTCAAACAAACATTAAGGCTTCAATTGGTAAATGTTTAATTAGCAGTATACGTAAAGGTAAATGTTTAAGGGACCAAAACAGCAATATGTTGAATATCTGCTTACTCATAGAACTAAAACAGGCGATGACGAATCTTTTTTTTTTTTTTATTTCTTTGGATCGACAAAGCCCGATCTATAGCCAATTCTTATTACGGAGTAACGCGACTTACTGGAGTCGAACTCCGGTGGGGAAGACGGAGTCAAATGGACTTAACCACTTGACTAAAGGCACATCTCCCGGTGATGATGAATCTAATCATGTCTAATTAGTAAATTAATTAATGAAGATATATGATAACACGAAAAATCAATTTGAGAGTGACAAAGAGCCAGCGAGGTTTGGAAACAGAAAGCGTGAAAAAGACCGTATCAAGTAGAGTCCAGACTTTGGCTGCGTCTCGTCACCGTTGATTATTATTCCGATAGATCGATTTCTACTTGGTCCTCCTCTAATTTTCTATCCAAATCTTGAAGAAACTGATTCTGGTTAATGCCTGTGAGTTACCCTGAGGTTACGGTGGTTGAAGAAGACAATGAACATAACGAGAGAGATAATGATAACACCATTAAGAAGAAGAAGAAGAAAAAGGAAGCTAAAGGGAATCGATTCTTGATCCCTTTCGTCTCAAAAGCTAAGAAACGAATCGTATCTAAGATCACAAGGAAACCCTTATCTCCTGCTTCTTCTGGGTTTTGGAAAAGAGTTTGCTTTTGTGGAACTGAACCTACCAATTCATTGGAATGGTCATCTTCTTCCAATCCTGACCCTGAAGATGTCAACTTTACGCTTAGGGTTCTGCTACAGACCAATGATTTCTTCTCCAAGGACTCTAATCCACATCTCTGTTTGTAAGTTCATCAAGTATAGATTTCACTTCTGTATAGATCTTCTTTCAAAATTCATCAATACGATAATATCCACAAGTGTGATCATCAATGTTACTAAAGATTTGTGCAGAACAATATTGAAATTGGTTATTGCCACAGAGTGATTATTGTTAATCAATCTTGTATATCCTCTTATGCTCATCATTAATATCTGTGGGTCTTTCCTGTCTCTCTTCAGTTGTTCCAGATGATAGTTCTTTATGTCTCTGACAATGACTCTCTCTATCAAAACTATCCATACTATTTGTAAGATCAGAAATTGAGCATTGATTGAATCTCAGAGTATCACACTCAACGAACATTAATTGATAATGTTTGATATCTGTTTCCATGTGTTGAATATCTACTAGTAAAGCCAAGTTTATATAGTCAAGTGCTTGTTACCTTTAAACACATCCAGGGTAACCATTTTCAATGGTTTTGTTCACTTTCCTGTATCATCACCCTTGCACTGGAGTTTATTAAAAGTTTGAATGTTGCTGAGACACTGATGTAGTTGTGAGTTTGCAATTGTTATATGGATTCAAGCATCTCTCTGAAGCCGCGTAACCCTTGTGCTAGTTATGCTTATTAAGTTTTGATTATGCAAATGGTGATCTCCGATCACCATTTGTGTATTGAATTTGATTCTAACCACAGAGTGATTATGAAGAAAGAACTTGGATAGTTCTTTTCTATGGTTGATGTTTCAGAGTTATAGCATGCCCCTGTGTCCTTTTTTGAGACATGGTTTGCCTCTAAACTCAGCGGAGAGTTCGGCCATTGAGTATATTGGATTGAAAGCACAACAGAGGACCCGAGATTCTTGCAGTAAGGTATGCTTCAAGAACTGTCGATTACAATCGACGATATATAGACTCTAGAGATTGTTCAAACATGTGAAAACTGGTCTCATTGTAGGACCAAAATTTGTCAAAAGAGTATCTACAACAATAAAGAAAAGTTACAAGCTTTTGCTTTTGCTTAGAAGTTTACATTTTTATGTTCATCATTGTATATCATTATTACATTAATTCTCTGGTCTGAAACCTATTTATTTCTTTGGTGGGAATTTGCCCTTAATCTTCTGAATCTCTGGTGCTCCAACTCCGAACGCCTTGGCAAGCAGGTCATCAGGAATCGGTGGGTTAGCACCAAACAGAGAAGGTCCAACAACTTGAGTCCCGGGAAGCTGACTATCGAAAGCAGCGAGAACGGATGCCGGAGCGTTGTTAGGGTTCTGCTGGAAATGGAGGAGAGCTTTGGGGAAAACAAAAACGTCTCCTTTGTTGACGTGTTTGGAGATGAGTTTCCCGGCAGTGGTTAAGAAGCCGACGAAGAGACGGCCTTCGAGGACGAAGATGGCTTCGGAAGCTCTTGGGTGAAGATGTGGCGGGTTAAGTCCGCCAGGTGCGTAGTCGATCCGAGAGATGGAGACTCCCATAGTGTTGAGGCCAGGCACTTTCTCAACGTTGGCTCCTGTAACAGCTGAGCCCATTGTGGAGTTGGCTGTGGCTGCAGCAGTGGCTAAGCCTACGAAGTAGAAGTCTTCTGGTGTTACTTTTGCTGGGTCTTTGCAAGGGTATCCGTTGACTTTCACACCTAATCAGAACATGATAAAAGTAGACAACAAAATACTTAAATTTGGTCTCGGTTGTTTCAAACACCAAATCTGCGTTTGCATTTATATTTCTGCTAAATGTAAATGCAAGCAGAACGTAAATGTTATAGAGAGATGTGATACCGTTGGAGAGATCAGCAACACAAAAATCTTGAAGCATGTTTGTATCGGCGATGGCCATGTGGGCGGCCACGAGCATGAAGGTGACGAATATATGGATCATGGAAGTTGCCATTGTTGATTGTTGTTGTTTGTGAAATGTTGTTTGATGAATTTGAGAAAATCCTTTTGAGCTTGTTTCTCAATTTATATATCCATGCAAAGAAGATTTAACCAATGGAAAACCAATGGAGAAGAGATAAATATGGAGAGGGCCATAGGTGTGTTAATTTTAAATTTTTGCCATAATTAGGTTTAGGTGATCTAATCGTTGGTTAAAATTTGGTGTTTAAAAAGGGTTTTGTTTGTTGGAGACATTAATTAGCCTATAGTTATAGGATGACACTCACCATAATAAAAACACCTTGGAACTCTAATAATCACCAAACTCGAAATGATTGATGATTTTGGTTGTTTATTGGTTAGATAGAACTCAAGAGGTTTGTTTGGTTCAGCTAGATCCAAACCCGGAAGGCATGGATCAATTTCTATCCAAGTAAAACCAAAACCTCAAACCGGCTAGAGGTGAACCAAAATGGAATTTCTATCCATGCATTTGCATGATCATAAGATATACAATATAAAAAAACATTTGGGGTCAAGTAAGTACAAAATTAGATATAGAGAATATGGGACTTCAAAATATATTCATAAATTTTCAAGATTAAACAAATTCCTTCCTCAATAATGTCCCAAGTAAGTCCATAAGATGGTGGCTGAATACCAACTAAGCAAATTCCCAAAACCTCTAATTCAATGATACAAAAACATGCACCTAAGCACGTAGATACTGCAATCTCTTGATTATTTAATTACCAATACAGACCAAACACAACCTCAACTGCTTCAACATTATTCCAATCTGTCATCTCTGTTTGTCTTCACATGTTTTTTAATAACTTCATCTCTGCCTTCTTCATTCCTCCAAAATTCCTCTAATCCATTTCTCTTTTCCTTTGGCTAATCATCCATCATGACTGTCAAGGTAAACATCCTAGTAATAGTTCCTTTTCAAATCCGACACCGAATGATTCAATTTTTGTTATGGTTTTGAGCAGAAAGTTGAAATCAAGGTAGATATAAACTGCGGAAAATGCAACAGCGCAATCATGGAAGCAGTCACAGAGATAGAAGGTAATGAACAGAAAAATTCTTTAAGGAATCTGTGCTCTTAACATATCATATTGAACATGAGAATTGATCGATGCAGGTGTGAATCATATTTCATTAGATGATGGGAATAGTATACTCACCGTGGTGGGGACAATGGATCCGGTCTGCGTTGCAACAAGACTGAAGAAGATTAAACAGAAACCTGTAATCATTAGCGTTGGACCACCACCAAAACCTCCTGAGCCACCAAAGCCTCCAGAGCCTGAGAAACCAAAGCCTCCACCAACACCTGAACCACCAAAGCACGTATGCAAGCCACCTTACTGCAACAGTTGTGATGTTGTGTCTGTTACTACATATGAAAGTGGAAGCGGCTGCACCATTCTTTGAGTCCTGTATCTTGTACCATAGCCTTCATGTTAAGCCTATATTTAGCCAATACTAATTTATCATGTTCTCATCCTTTTTTTTTTTCTTTTTTTTTCTCAAAATAAGAATCTCGGTTGTTTGTCCCTCACCTGTTTTCAATTAGTCGCTTGTTTGACACAAGTCGCATGAGTTTCATGCTAAAGAAAAGGAAAGTTCAAAAAGACTAAATTTTTGATTAATTTCCATAAAAATGTGAAGCAGAAAGTAGAGGCTGTCACGGAAGATGTTGACCTGAACAGAGCTTAAGAAGTTAAGGGATCCATATCTTTTAAAAAGATAACAACAGCGGGTGCTATTGGGTCGTAGCACTCTTAGGCCCATTAACTTCATGAGCCCATTAACTTATGCAAAACAAGAAAATGGACATATTGAAACATTGGGGTTCTCACGGAAAACATTAGAAAAGTAGGGACAACTATACAAAATATAGAAACAAGAGGCAAGTGGACGACCACGGCGTAAGATCAACATGTGGTGGTGTGCATGAGACCAAGACCATTTTTTCTCGTTCTTCGACGCACACTTGGTCTTTTCTTATTTTTGTTGCATTTCTCTGAATAGACAGACCCTCTCTCTTTTTTATTTAGGATAGTAAAAAAAATATGATTTTGTTTAGTTGGACATATTAAGTTAAAATCTGTACTTACTGGGGAAAACGATCTATTTCCCCACTAGAACTATCATATCATAACAGATAGAGCCCAATCTATGACTACGTGCTAGATGTCCCCGAAAAAATACTTCTCAACTTATATTTCCCCGAATTCATAGTTCAAAACCTATATATCCCCAGAATAATAGTTTTCACCTAATTTATCCACAAACATTGGTTTTGTTCGGTTAACTGTTTGCTTAACCAACTAACGAAGACACTAAACCGGAGTAAACCTAATCTAAACAAAATACAATTAAATTATTAGTTAATTGAATAAATAAGTACAAAGAAAAAAAATACGATGGCTTTCTTCTTTCTTTGGCTTTCTCCCTTTCGATGAGGGTGAACGGTGATGTCGTCTCCGGTGATGGTGGCTCTGGTGATATCGGCTCCGGAAATGTCGTCTCCGATGATGGTGGCTAATGGCTATAGATCTATTTCACAGTGGTTCCCCTCTTCTTCTTATTCCTCCTCTCCGCTTTGATCTGCTTCATAATCAGAGCTCCATAGACTTTAATTTTATTCGTCTATCCCACATCATCCCACCCATTGAAATCGCATGCTTCGCGATTTTGTTGAAGATTGTGAATTCTTCGTTGAATCCACCATTATCAACTTGATGGTTCGCGTTGATTCTTTTCTGGTTTTTGTAATTTGTTTCCAATTGATTTTAAGATGAGAAGTAGAGGGGACAAGAGAGAGCATTCGATAAACCAAATTTAATAACTGAGATGTTGATTTTGGCTAATTAGATTGTTGTTTTGTGATATTTTTCAGTCAAAGAATGTGTATTTGCAATGATGCATACCAATCTTATAATTCGACAAGGTGAAATCAGCTTTTGAGAGTACGGAGAGAGATTCAGATAGTTCAAGAAACGCCAATCGCCAGAAGAGTCATGAAGAGAAGATAGATCTCATCACGATTGCGTGTGCGTCACCGGCGAAGGGCTTTCTTCGGCGGCTCTTTGCCGAGATTTGCTGGATTGGCTCACTGCTCAAGGAGTTTTGTCACGAAAATAAGTTTCAGGAGGTCGTATCTCTCTTTGATTCAATGGCCAACATGGGATTCAAACCTAATGTTGTCATCTGCAACATTGTGACTAATGGTATTTGCAGAAACAGAGATGTGGATAACACCACACTGGAGATTGTTTACAATTTCTTTATTTTTTAAAAAAATAAAAACTCTGGAATTAGGAGAGGAAGAACGAAGAAGGCGAAGAAAGGGGATAAACCTTTTTTATTTTGTTTTTAAATTATTTTATTTTGGTTTGCTATAAATGGTTTAGTATCGGTTCAGGGTAGTTTTCTATCGGGTTTTGTTTATAAACCGATTAAACCTAGATCTATGGAGAAATAGGTTTCGAACTATCGATTTGGGGATATATAGGTTGACAAGTATTTTTTCGGGAACATCTAGCACGTGGTCATAGATTGGGCTCTATCTATTATGATGTGATAGTTTTCGTAGGGAAATAAATCGTTTTCCCGTACTTACTGTAAACATTTCGTAGAGTGAATTCCTATACGACATCCATCATTGATGGACCATCAACATGAGCTATAACCAAAACCAAAAAAAGATAACAGATGAAACCCCTGTTCTAAAAATCCCCGCCTAGCCCCGATTACTCCCCGCTTAATCGCTAGGCCCACCCTATCCGCCTCGATTAATGACTAATCCCCTAAAAAATCAGTAACCCGATTATTCTCCGCCTAATCCGATTACTTTCCGCCTAATCTTATATACCCCGATTATTTTTTAGATTGCAAGTATAAAAAAACTTTTTATTTTTGTTATTCAATCATTTGAATGGAGAGTTTGTGATGTTTTACAATAACTTGTGTTCAAATTTTAATAAAAATCATAAATTTGTAATAAAAATCATAAATTTTTACAATATTGGATTAATATATTTTAAAAATATTAAAATAACCCTAAAACTAATCCCCGATTAATCCCCGATTTTAATCCGATTTTCCGATTAATCGCTAGGCCCATGCCGAGCGCCCGACTAACGCCTAGCGATTTTTCAAACAAGGGATGAAACTACTTTAAGTAGTAAAACGTAAGAGCATCCACATTCGTAACACTCATTAAAAATATCTTAAGTATAAATTATTGTAAAACTAATACTATTTTAACATCTTGCCACGTACGGTGTCTAAAACCAGCAAAAATATCTCTCCATAGACACAGTATGACAGCGTATATCTCCTGTTCACCAAATAAATTGCCATTTTTCTTTTTTTATTATTCTTCTAAAATTTGAAGACACCCCAAAAATTGTCCGATGGAAATGCCCATTAAACCAGTTAAAATCTCCATTAAACTAGTATTTGGTGTAATTGACATGATTGCGTCGAAATAAATCAAAACAGTTATATCGTGTTTCAAACATGATTGCTAGCATATGTGTAGGTATCGTAGACGTTACATAACAATCATCACTCGTAAATATCAAAGTGGTTTCTGTTTCTCTCAAACTCAAAGGGTTTATGATTTTCCCCAACTTCCCATTATATCATCAGCACTAGTATATTGTTTCTTTCACACGTATGCTTCTGCCCAAAGTGGAAAGATCATACTAATTCATAAGGCTTCGTTATGCTTAAGTCATGACGTTAAATGAAATTTGTTTTTATTCTTTCACCAACACAAAAGAATAGTGTTTTTTTTTTTTTTTAGCAACGAGGGGACCGGTTGGAAAATATAATTGGTGAAATATATTTTTATTTTACCAGCTTATTCATATAGATCTAATATATATATATATATATATATATATATCATTAAGTTTGACAATTACAGATCAGCTTAATAATCCAATCGAATTGCTAATCTAGAGATGGAAAAATCAGGATCGAGCCAATAAGAAATAAAATCCAATGGACCCATTTTCTCCATGTGCAAATTATATCTGTTTTTGTCTGCTTTACTTGATGATGATGATACTGAGCATTTTAAAGTGTGAACTAAGATCTAGCAAACCAAAAAAGATGGTCTCTTCTGTCTTTGTCACATAATAAGAGAATAGAGTTGTTTGATTTTTTTTTTTTTAAATAAAACTCCAACCGTGAATCCAGCCATGAAACTTTTTTAGAAAATCCCTTTTTTTTAATAAAAATAATTCCTTCTTCACTTATTCTTCTTCGTTTAGCCCAGAAAAGCCCATTCTTTTTTTCTTTCTTGAATATTTTATTCACACTATTCGTTTCTACAAAGTTTGTTCCTTTCTTCTTCAACTCTCTCACTCACAGTCACAGAGATCTGTTGATCTCTTTCTTTTTTTTGCTTTCACTCTTCACCTTCCAGTGAGAGAGTGAGAGAAAATGGAGAAGCTTTTGGTAGTAGGATTTGTTGTGGCTGGGATAATACTGGGAACTCAAGCATATGAATATTTAGATTTCAATGTGACAGAAATAGATCGCATTGAGGAATTAGAGTTTGGATTCTCCAAATATAGCTCCAATCTAAACCCTTTAATGGTTGGCCTCACCCTTATCAGAGGAGCTGATTCTGGAGCTGGTACTTTCCTCTCTGCTTCTGTCACTAGATCTCTACATGCCTATCTTTTTTTACTTTTGTGAGTTTTTCAGATAGCAAAAATATAAAAAAAGGGTACAAAAATGGTTTCTTTTGCTTTCTTCATTTATTATTCACTTCAACTACATTCTTCTCATCAGCTTGTTTCCTCTATAGTCTCTACCGTCCCATTCCTGATTTAACTTGTGTTTTACGTTTATTGTTATGTACTCTTCAAGATTACTTTGTTTTTTTTTTCCTGTTTTATTGCTTAGAAATGTAAATAAAACAAAATTAATGCTAGTTAAGCTCAGATAAACAAAGTTAGAACTAGAAGCTGTGTATGTTCTGTGTCGGTAGAAACACAAAAAGAAAAAAGTTTGAATTTAGATATGTTTGGACCTTTACATGTTTGTGTAATAGTGTGTTTTTGTTCACAGTTTGTTTGGATGGAACATTGCCTGGATATCACTTGCACCGTGGACATGGATCTGGAGCTAATAGCTGGCTCATTCAGTTGGAGGTTTAGTGAATGATTTGTTTGTCGATGAAAGTTACTAGTTTAAATCTTCATTGGTGGTGTTTAATGTTTTTGCTACTGAAAATGTGAAACAGGGAGGAGGATGGTGCAACAACATCAGGACCTGTGTATACCGGAAGACGACTCGACGTGGTTCCTCTAATTATATGGAGAAACAGCTTCAGTTTACAGGAATACTGAGTGACAAAGCTCAAGAAAATCCTGGTTTGTCTCAATCTTTGTTGAAGTTTTGTTCATGTCAGTAATGTAATGTAGTTTTGAAAATCGCTGATTCTTATTGTCATGTGCTTGTCTTTTGCAGACTTCTTCAACTGGAATAGAGTTAAGCTTCGTTACTGTGATGGTGCTTCTTTCAGTGGAGATGGCCAGAATCAGGTTCGAATCAATAATTGTTTTGATTTAATAGAGTTCATAAGTGACCCATTGTTGTGATTTGGAACAACTTGCTAGTTTCTAGGCCTTTGGAACTCTGTTGTTTATAATCGTCACGATTAGCCACAGAGAACGCTTGTTTTGATATCAGTTTTGTAGACTTTAGCAGCTTTTGGCTTTGTGTAACATCTGTGAACTAATGCATATATAACTTTCAGGCTGCACAGCTTCAGTTTAGAGGAGAGCGCATCTGGAGAGCGGCAATAGATGATTTGAAGGCGAATGGAATGCGATATGCCAACCAGGTTTTGATACTTAACTTTCTTTTCGCCTCTTAATCTCTATATAGCGCAGGATCAAGATGGTTAACTGTTTATATTCTTTCAGGCACTTCTCTCTGGGTGCTCTGCTGGTGGTTTAGCAGCAATCTTGCGCTGCGATGAGTTTAGGAACTTGTTCCCTGGATCAACCAAAGTCAAGTGCTTGAGTGATGCAGGCTTGTTCTTGGACACGTTAGTTTATTTCTCCCAACTCAAAGATTATATTAAAGCTAGCTCATCTTCCCTTTCCTTAGTAACTGCTATTGACTCCTTTGTTTCTGTAATCATAGAGCCGATGTTTCAGGCGGCCGCACAATCAGGAACTTATACAATGGTGTCGTAGAATTGCAGGTAGGAATCCTCTTTTTTCACTTAAAAGTTTCTTACTTCACATTTAAAGAGCACAAGAAATTTAAGAAATCTTCTTGACAAATTCTGAGATTTTACCATTTACAGAGTGTGAAGAACAATCTTCCACGTATATGCACAAACCATCTCGATCCAACCTCGGTAATCTTTTCCTTTGTTCTCTCTCATCCTGATGCTGTTGCAAACCGGACCATTCGAAAGTCTTTTATTTGATAACTCCTCTTTATGTACAGTGTTTCTTCCCACAAAATCTGATCAGTCAGATGAAAACTCCACTTTTTATCGTCAACGCAGCATATGATACATGGCAGGTTATGTTCTTTTTCTCTTTGGAAACCGCCACATTTCTTCTTAAGAAAAGAAAAAAAAGTTGATGGTTAGGCTGACAAGTCTCTTAATGGCTTCTAATCAGATTCAAAGCAGTATAGCTCCAACATCAGCTGATCCTAGTGGATTTTGGCATGACTGCAGACTAAACCATGGCAAATGTACTCCTGCACAATTGAGATTCTTGCAAGGTTGTTCTATAGATCATAAAAACTTGTGGACTTCACCCTTTAAAGCATCATTGTATCACTCTAATCGTTTAATCTTTTATCCGAGAACAGGATTCAGGGACCAGATGCTTAGAGTAGTTAGGGGCTTCTCAATGTCTAGACAGAATGGATTGTTCATCAACTCTTGCTTTGCTCACTGCCAAACCGAGAGGCAAGATACTTGGTTTGCCGATGATTCTCCCGTCATCAGGAAAAAGGTAAAATCTCACTCAAATCTTTCCCACACAAACAAAGTAACACAAGCAGGAGCTGTTTCCAGATCTTGACTTTGTCTGTGGAACATATGTAGGCGGTGGCAATAGCTGTAGGAGATTGGTATTTCGATAGAGCGGAAGTGAAGTTAGTCGATTGCCCGTACCCGTGTGACAAGAGCTGCCACAACTTGGTGTTCAGATGATTCATTGATTATGTTTCTTTCTTCTCTCATATATACATACCTTTCTTTCTTTCAAAAGGAAAGATTTTGTATCCTTGGTAGTAACCAATGCCTCATTGGTATATATGATTAAGTGTATCCTGGAAAACCATAATAAAAAAACAAACAAACAAAGTTTGCTTAAAAAGAGTTCAAATGTAATCAATCACAGAAAAATGCTCTTTCTTTTGTTTTGTTTTCTTTGCAAATGCTAGTAGTTGATCTAATAATATTAGAAATGTCAACATTGGTCCCAAAAGAATTCTCATTCAGCCTAACAAATTCTTTTATATAATCATAAGTGTCCAACAAAAGCAGATAATGGATAAGAATAATAATAAAATAGTAAAAAGATAGAGAAAGTGAAAAGAGTAAGAATATACAGAGTGTGTTGACAACTTGACACCCTGTTTTTGTGGGGGGTGTGAGTGACAGCTATCTAGTGTTCCCCACTTTGTGTGTGTATATGTGTGAGCGGGTTTTTTACACCTATCATTTGCTTTCAATTTCTCCCAGTCAAAAAACTAACTTCTTCAACAACTCTGGGAATTATAATCTGAATTTTTGACGTTGAACCCTGTCCATTACTTTTTCTCCTTCTTCTCCTGCCTTGTGAATCTTCTTCCATGGCTTCTGATTCTCACTCTCCAACTGTTATTACACCTGAAAAGGTAAGCTATTTTGAGAATTATCCCTCTGTTCCTTAGACTCTTATTTTCTATGCTCATGTATGCACTTATGTATATGTACCTTTATGCTTCTTTTTTTTTGATAATTACCTTTATGCTTTTGAGGTTGATAGATATATTTCTTCATCATACTTGTAAGATACATATGCTTTCACTGAGGCAGAGTCGAATATACTTGTATGTGTATGTATAAACACACAAATATTATAGTTAGGTTGTATTGTATTCTTCCACTGTTTTGCTGGAGCAATTATTGAAGGAAAAAAAAGTGAACTTTTTAGAAAGTTGTAGATTATGCACATGGATGTTAAAATACCCACTTTGTCCATCTTTTTCTAGAAAACTCTTCTTACGTTCTAAACTATGATTCTAGTTAGAGAGATAAACGAAGCAATACCTTTCTATTTAAGAAAGAACGAAGGTTTTATGTTGTAGAGAATTATAAGAGAGTTTTACTTTTACCTGATGCAGCCATTGGAGAACAAGGTGAGCGAGGAAGCTAAGTTGATGGAGAAAGAGATTGTTTTGTCGGATTCTGCGGATGTGGTGAATGATAAACCGGCATCAGATTCAAACCCTGTGGTTACTAAAGAAGAGGAGATTGATCAAACTCCTGCTGGTGAACCAGAGAAAGAATCACCTTCACTGGTAGAAGAAGTTGGAGCAGTTGTGAAAGCAGAGGAATCTACAGAGACAGATAAACATGAAAATGGTGAGAAAGGAGCTGAACAAGTGGAACTTGAAGAACCAATCCTTGTGAAAGAGAGTGTTACAGAAGTTAATGTTGAAGCTGGTGATGCAGAGAAAGCAGAAGAGAAGCCAACCGTGGAGAGTGTTGTTGAAGAAGACAATAAGGATAAGGAGGAGACGAAGATTGTTGATGTATCTGAATCAACAGATGAAGCTGGCAAAGAGGTGGAACCAGTTGATGTTCAATCTGTTAGAGATGCAGAGAAAACAGAAGAGAAGCCAACCGTGGAGAGTGTTGCTGAAGAAGACAATAAGGATAAGGAGGTGACGAAGATTGTTGATGTGTCTGAATCAACAGATGAGGCTGGAGGCAAACAAGTGGAACCAGTTGATGTCCAATCTGTTAGAGATGTATCTGCAAAGACTGAAGAAGAGAAAATCAAAGATGTGGAGGCTCTTGAAGTCCAGCCAGAGCCAGAGGCTTCCGAAAAAGTTGAGACTCAGCCGGAGAAAGCAAAGGAATTGGAACCAGAAGTTGAAGTAGTAAAGGCAGAGGAAACACCTGAAGCAGCCGAACAAGCTAAGGTTGGGCTTGAGGGAAAGCTGGAGGATGTAATTGTTGAGGACAAAGACACTGAAATGAACTCCAAAGATGAAAAGACTTCTGAATCTGGTTCTGCTTTGTGCCCTGAGGAAATTGTATCGACAAACCAAGAATCAGACACTGACCCCAAAAAGGAGACTGAAAGAGACGCTTCTTCTCCTATTGACGTCACTGAGAAGGCCATTACAGAAGAGAAGCATGTAGTGGATGAACCAGCAAAGGAGGAAAAACCTTCTGAATCAAGTGCTGCTTTGTCCCCTGAGAAAGTTGTACCAATAAACCAAGATTCAGATACAAACCCCAAAGAGGAAACTGAAGGAGACGCTGCTGCTCCTGCTAATGTCATTGAGAAGGCCATTACTGAAGAGAAGCATGTAGTAGATGAACCATCAAAGGATGAAACAACTACTGAATCTGGTTCTGCTTTGTGCCCTGAGAAAGTTGTACCGACAAACCATGATTCAGACACAATCCCCAAAAAAGAGACTGACGGAGACGTTTCTACTGCGGCTGATATCAAGGCCATTGCTGAAGAGAAGCATGTAGTCGAAGAACCATCAAATGAGGAAAAAACTTCGGAATCTAGTTCTGCTTTGTGCCCTGAGAAAGTCGTACCAACAAACCAAGACTCAGACACAGAACCCAAAAAGGAGACTGAAGGAGACGTTCCTTCTCCAGCTGATGTCATTGAGAAGACCATTACTGATGAGAAGCATGTAGTCGAAGAACCATCAAAAGATGAAAAAGATAATGTAAGTAAAGCCAAAGATGTCGTTACCAAACTAGCTGCAGAAGATGAGAACATCAAGAAAGATACCGAACCACCTGTTGCAGAAGGAAAGAGCGAAGAGACTTTGAAAGAAACTGATACAGAATCAGGAGAGAAAGAAGCAGCAGCAAACAAACAAGAGGAACCAATTACAGAAAAAGTAGCAGAGGTTGTGGAAACAGCACCTGTTGTTAAAGAGATCGATGAGCCAAAACAAGAAGCAGAAGTCACAACCAAAGAAGTTCCTGCTAAGCAAAAACATTCAAACAGCATAATATCAAAGGTGAAACAATCTCTTGTTAAGGCAAAGAAAGCAATCATTGGAAAATCTCCAAGCTCTAAGACTATCACAACTGAAGAAGCTAAGGAAGAAATCAAAGTCAAGTGATAAAGTGTTCAAGTTTAAAGTTTTCAGGTACTGTTATTTAATTTGTTGGTTTTGCTTCGTGTGGGAGAAAACAAAAAAAAAGAACAATTTTTTCTTTGTTTTATGGCTTTGTGTGGTTATAACTTATATCTGTAAACATACAAAGATTTGCCTTTGTGTTGGAAAATTTTCTTTACGATTATTACTCATCAGCATTACATGTCATGGATAAGCCACCATATCATATTAAATCTCAGAATCGAAATAAAATTAATAACCTTGTCCTTTAGGAGTTTTCTATGCGGAATTTCATCAAACACCTTCTCCGCACAATGCATCCCCCGACAATTTTACCAATCAAATCGTTACCCGCAAATACAGAACAAACGATCCAATGCTTTCAAGTGATACGGAGGATAAAAGTGTTAATCAACGTGAAAGAGACGAAATTTTTGACGCCGTTTTCGACTGAGGAGAAAAACAGTAACTTTGATCGATGAAGAAAAAATCGATTCAGGCATAAAGCAGGTTTCGGGTCAACAGGAAAGTTCCGAGAAGCTTCGTAGAGACGGGAATTAACGTCTATGGCGGTCGAACTTGCGTGAGTAAGATGTTTCCATGAGGATTTTTTGGAGGGAAAATCAGAATCTGGTTCATGTCAGTTTCACGTTCCGTTATTACCGTTGAAAATCTATAAACCCGTTTAGTGATCCTTTTGAAAATGGGCCCGTAATGGGCTTAGATTTAATTCTAATCAAAAACTTTAAAGAGTGGATGACCAAATTGCTAAGACCAATGTCGGCAGAAGTTTTTTTTTGTTTTGTTGCAAAGTTCTTCTTGTCAACCATATTTCAATACCAGCGAATTTGAACACCAAAACAAAGAAAAAAAAGAATTCTTGAGAATTCATGATATTAAAGTCAAGTTTGAATAGAAGATTAGACCAATTCGAAAGGATAAGAACAAATAGTTTAAAGCAACCACTTATTTTATAACAAAATAAAAAGGACATTACCACTCTGATTAGGACATCATACATAAAGTAAATCTATTAATATTTTGTGGTGTCAATTCAATGCCACGGTTTATGCGTTGGTGTCGGCCAGAATATTTTATAACTTATTAAAAAAAATTTTAAAAGAAAGTATATTACGTTAATAATGGTCATTTTGATGAACGAGTGTTGAGTGTCAAGAAAGCAACTTTAGGAAGAAAGAACATATGCTATTATGCTGACAGGCGAAGCCAGAGTAGCATGATTCACACCAAGTCACTAACGATCTTCTAATTATCATTATTTTACAACTTTCTTGCTTTGCTCCAAAGATTATTCTTCTAGACAGCTAAGCTTCGTTGTCATCGATAAAATTAATTGTTGATTGGGTGCTTATTAACTTTACACTAGGTTTCTCTAGAGAAAACGGAAGTCTAGATGAAGACAAAAACAAAATCAAATTTCAACAAGAACAGAGCAACTAATGCAGTACAAAGTGCACCTGTATTGCTTGTAATATAAAAAGAGTCCAATCAAAATGTCAACAATTGAAATATTATTTTCTGGATAAAAAAAATTATATAATTTGTAGTTATGAGTAAAATAGTTTTGTTAAATGATTAACTCTACTTAGATGCAATCAATTGCATAAATAATATAAATAAGTTTGTACCATATTTTAAAGGATGGAAAAGGAGGCTAAAAATCAGTATGTTCTTGTTTCTTATCCTTAAAAAATATGGACCGAACAAATTTTTGAAAAATAAGAAGGTATGCAAACAAAAATTCAGAGATTTAGTTTTGGTTAAGAATACTTAATAACCGGTTACTGAAACGCAGACCAACCAATAATTAACCACTTTAAACCAAAGGAGTGTAAAGTGATTAAGCACCATGTTCTATGGAGTTATGGAGCATGGGTTTTGACACGTGAGAGGACGGCAGGGTACTGCATTGACAGACATGAAAGCATGTGAGTGGACCACGTGTCATAAGCCTGTTGGTAGAATGTATATATCCATACCTCTCGCCGACCTCCACGGCGGAGATTGTCCCGGCCCACATTCGTGTACCGACAACAATATGGTTTTGAGTAATATTTAGGGTTTGATGAATACATACATATAAGAAGAATGTGTTGTGCACTTGTGCTACGTGTACCTTATGTGTTAAGCCACTTAACTTTCTGACAAGCACCATGAACTTTAGTCAAAATCTAATCTTTCATTCTGGTCTCAATCTTGAAAGCATTTGTTTATTATCAACAAATAAAATATTCCGAAGAAACATATGTATTATATTCTTAAATGGAACTTCCCCATCAATAGATAAGTAAAAATCCTTTTACCAAAAAAAAAAAGAAAAGTAAAAATCATTTTACCAAAAAAAAAATGATAAGTAAAAATCTATTCCGCCAAAAGAAAATTTGGAAAAATGAAAATATGTGATTTGACATTACAAACAGCACTAGTACATTAACGCTAAATTAATCGGATACCAGCACCCTACTGGAAACCTAAACCAAATACCAAATTTCAACTGCGTTTATTGGTCTAACAAATTAATTGTTATGTACCAGTTAGCCGTAGTCGAAGACGCTTATTCAATTTGTTATTTATCGTGCACGCCATCTATATAGTTGGTCATTTCTTTAGTTCCAAATCACCTTAAATTTATATTATTTCATGCCACAGTTAATATCAAATATATAATGTGACTCATTCCTGATACGTTTAAGAAATTTAGTTTAAATAATAATGAATATGATATAATGTTCCTTTCTTATTTTTTGGTTTCATTCAAGATATATAAGAGTAAAACTAAAACTATAAGAAAGGAATATGTATGCAATTATTAATTTGAAATTATCGTTTAATTAATTTGTTTGAAGTAAGTTTTATATACATCACAAGTCCCAAAGAAAAAGGAAACGATAAATAAAATCATTTAGATTTTCCCAACAACAATTTTAAAAGGAGAAAAAGAAAACCTATCACTCCTACAAGAAAGGGAGAAGTAATTACAGAGTAAGAACCACGTGGATAGGTTCATAAAATATTTCTAAAGTGGGGTCTATATATAGGAGAGTAGAGAAATTCCAGAATCATCAAGATTTAGTGTATAAACATCAGAAATATTTTCTTAGAAATTTGAAGAGCTTGAAAATGAGTACAGCCACTTTCGTAGAGATTATTCTGGCTATCATCTTGCCTCCTCTCGGCGTCTTTCTCAAATTTGGCTGCAAGGTACACTATTTATATTTTTACTGTTTCTTTTCATTAGAAAGAGTGACTTTTTTGAATCTCATAAAATTTTCAGATTTTGACATTTTTTTTTTGTTTTTTTTTTTGCAGGTTGAGTTTTGGATATGTTTGATTCTGACGTTGTTTGGTTATCTTCCCGGAATCCTTTACGCTCTTTATATCATCACCAAGTGATTTTTCCTATATCCTCTGTTCTTTCCTCTTGCTCCTCGTAAGCTTTCTTTCTCCACGATCTCTCTCCCTCAATGTATATTAATCCAATCATATAAACATACATGCGTAGATGTGATGAACACAGAACGAGATTTAAGATGAAATATCTTTGATATACTAGAACAATATATGTTTTACACTAAGAAATTATGTATATCTTCTGAATAAATTAAATATATATATATATATATATATTATATATGTTAGGTGAACCACATTTTCGGAGATATTGTTATAACTACTATTCACTTTGTTACATTTTTCACAACATTATCGTACAATACGTTTTAGTATCAATTAAAAAGATAGTTAAAATAACATTATGAAAGTTTTTCATTTCACTTTACATTTTTATTAGTACAAGGAATTTTCTAACCTAAGTTTCACTTTTATATTTGTTGTTATTGTGTAGGAGGAACAGATGTTTCGTCGTGCTCTTCTCTCTTTGGGACTGATTCATCATTTATTTTATGCTATGAGCAATTGATTATTATTGTTGTATTCGCATTATTGTATAATTTCTGCTGATATGAAGAAGATATCGTTGGTTAATGTGAGTAACTTGTTTATTTCCTTTTTAAAACTATATTGGTGAGCAGATTTGGATTTTGGACCACCATTAATAAAAATTTAAACCAACTCTATATAAATCCATGGTCACATGTCTCGTTCGCATCACCAACAATTTTGCACCTTGAGTTAAAACTCATGTGGTGTATGAGAAAATACAACAGAATCATCCCCACCGGTTAATATTAGTAACCCAATTTTGAGATATACGTTTTTGTCGTCTAATAGTTGACATGAATCAGTTGAATCGACTATACAATTTATGTAATATCTTTATTTTTGGAAAAAACACTAGTGGAGAAATAGAGTTTTAAAACTTAAAAGATTAATTTAACTACCTAAATTTGATGAATCTAATTACTTAATTATCGGAGATGGATACAGAGCAAAGAAATGGTCAGGAAGCAAACAAGTATTTATCTGGAGATCAGTGGGATCAGATTACTGTTGATATCAAAACAAAACATATGTGAATGTGGTTTATTATTATTTAGGGTAGGCTGATTTTATAGCCATAACTAGTTGCATTCTCAACTTTCCCCCAAAACCTTTTGGCTCCTGACAATTCCACCATTAACTTAGATAATTCTCACAATTTTAACATGTACTTTCGGATTCATCCTTAAAAATACGTCTCCAATTGAACCGGTCATTAAACCGGGATTAACCACAAAATCGCGTTTACTGTACCGCGGTTGCGATTTACCCGACTAAACACCCATTACCCGTTAAGAAAACGACGTCGTTTTCCACTGGTTTAACTCATCAAAACCCAAGCAAAAAACGACGTCGTTTTCATTCTTCTTCTTCTACAAAATCGATTTGGGCGTTTAGGGTTCCACATTCCACTTCAGAGCTTCTGAAATTTTAAGAAAATGAGCACCATGAGCTACTACTCATCTACTTCCAGTTCAGGTTTTCGTGCCTCTCCTCCTGGTGTCCCCTCCAAATGCTGGTGTAGAGAAGAGATCACCACTTTCACATCGAAAACAAAGGAAAATCCATACCGGAGATTCTACCGGTGCGAGATAGCAATGAAGGTACACATTTCGGTTTTTTGAAATTGTTAATTGATCGAAAAGAGTAAATGGGTTAGAAATTCTGTTTTGTAGAGAGAAAATGAAGAGCACTTGTTCAAATGGGTTGATGAAGCTCTATTGGACGAAATTAACATGGTAAATGAGAAGTGTAAGAGAGTTGCAGAGAATCTTAGTGCTCTGAGAGTGAACGTGATGGCTAATATGGAGCTCCAGAACAAAAACATTAAGCAGATGGAGGAAGAGCTGATTAAGAAGATGGAGGGTGAACTCTTGACCATGAAGGAGAATGTGGAGGAGCTAGGACATGTTATGGCTAAGTCAGCTTTGAAGACTGTAGGGATTGCTGCTGTAATTGTTACCTCAATTGTATGGCTTTGTGGAAGAGTGTAGGTTTTAGAGTGAATCTATTGCCAGTTTGTGTTTTGTTTTGTAATGTGAATCTATGTTTGTCTTTGTTTTGTCTTTGTTTTGTAATGTGAATCTGTTTTGTCTTTGTTTGTAGTGAATCTGTTTTATCTTTGTTTTGTAATGTGAATCTGTTTGGTAAGGAAAATGACAAATTGAAACATAAGAATAGGTAAGATAAGAGACTCCTAAAGATTACATAAGAATCGATCAGTCATCATCCAAAACAATAACATCCTAAAGAGCATCAACTTCCGAAAGAGGCAACATCTAAAATAGACAAAAGAGGATGAAGATTGTTCCAAAGACAACATCCACCTACTATGTTTAGCATTTATCCTATGCTTCATTGCATAATGCAACACCGTCTCTTTAAACTCAAAACCATTGAAGAATGTTCTGTCTATAGCTAACTTATCATCCGAAGCTAACCTAATTTTTCTATCTCTAGTGATCACATGATCTTCATCTTCATTTTCATCTTCTGGAATTTGATTCCTTCGAATCTGAAACTCATCAAACCAACTAGCTATTGCTTCCTCTATCTCGAACTCAAACCTCTCGGACAAATCTTCTTCAGGCACATCCTTCTTCTCTTTTCCCCTCTTCCTCTTCTTACTGCTTTCAGCTCCGTCATCGGCTCTGTCATCTTCTCCATCGGCTCTGTCGTCGTCTCCATCATTCTCTTTGTCATCATTCTCTCTGTCACTCTCACAATCGCCCTCAACTCCGCTTTCACTGCTATCGCTTCCACTGCTATCGCTTCCACCGTCGGCATCGAGAGCACTGTCTAGAGGATCGAAATCGGGGTCATCTGGATCGCTTTGATAAACCAACCCTTCATCCCACCAATTCTTCATTGAATCGAAATTGAATCAAAATTAAATCGAAAGTTTTATCCCCTGGCTATTCGAAACCCTAATTCCCACCCAGATTTAAGATTCGAGAACCCAGAAATCCCAAAATCCCCAAATCCCCTTTTCTCTTTTTCTCTCACGAACCCTAATTTGAGAATTAACAATGACAATTCGTAAACCCGATTTGAGATTTATCAAAATGAAAACGACGTCGTTTTCTTAACGGGTAATGGGTGTTTAGTCGGGTAAATCGCAACCGCGGTACAGTAAACGCAGATTTGTGGTTAATCCCGGTTTAATGACCGGTTCAATTGGAAGCGTATTTTTAAGGATGAATCCGAAAATACATGTTGAAATTGTGAGAATTATCTAAGTTAATGGTAGGATTGTCCGGAGCCAAGAAGTTTAGAGGAAAAGCTGAAAATACAACTAGTTTATAGTTATAAAATCAGCCAACCCTATTATTTACGCATAAAAAGATATATTAAAGTCTTTAACTTTCTAATATTTTGAAGTCGGTCACAAAGTTACGTAACTACTTACGATACACTTTTGACGTATATAATAAGAAGTTGACTCTAAGTAAAATTGTTGAAATTGATAAATACATGTATTATCGTCGATATCACACGAGTACTACTACTAACCCCTGTTCTAAAAATCCCCGCCTAGCCCCGATTACTCCCCGCTTAATCGCTAGGCCCACCCTCTCCGCCACGATTAATGACTAATCCCCTAAAAAATCAGTAACCCGATTATTCTCCGTCTAATCCGATTATTTTCCGCCTAATCCGATTATTTCCCGCCTAATCTTACATACCCCGATTATTTTTTAGATTACAAGTATAAAAAAAACATTTTATTTTTGTTATTCAATCATTTGAATTGGGAGTTTGTGATGTTTTACATAACTTGTGTTCAAATTTTAATAAAAATCATAAAAATATGTTTTTACTGTAATTTTGAAAACAATATTGAATTAATATATTTTAAAAATATAAAAATAACCCTAAAACTAATCCTCGATTAATCCCCGATTTTAATCCGATTTTCCGATTAATCGCTAGGCCCATGCCGAACGCCCGACTAGCACCTAGCGATTTTTCAAACAAGGCTACTAACTATGACGCACAAAGAAAGAATGATGATATAACAAAATAATATTTATTAAAAATGCTATTTTTTTTCCTTACGCTCTTTGGACACGTTATGGATGCTCCTAATGCTCTTTGGACACGTTATGGATGCTCCTAATGCTAATTAGTAGTGGTTACGAAAGATTTAGGAACGTATCTTGCCAAAAAAATATCCCTTTCGCCTTGCTCATTTAGCTTAAAGGTAAAGGAAACAAATAAAAATAAAAAAGGAAAGCAATACGTGGCTCAAAAATATCTAAAAAGTTGGTCTATATAATGTGAGAGATATCCATGAAGAAGAGAGTAAAGAAGATAAAAACACAATTTGAAGCTTTTAATATATATTTCTCAGAAACTTCAAAAGAGCTTTAGAAAAATGGGTACAGCTACTTGCGTTGATATTATTATCGCCATCCTCTTGCCTCCACTCGGTGTCTTTCTCAGATTTGGTTGCGGGGTATTTATCTTTCTTCTCATATTTAGACTCAGTTTTATTTTAGTTAATTAATCTTGTAATTAGTCATATCGAGTTCTTTTTTTGACATATTTATCCACAAAATAAATTAAAAGTTGGAATTATGAATTTTTTTGCAGGTTGAGTTTTGGATATGTTTGGTTTTGACGCTGCTTGGGTATATTCCTGGGATCTTATACGCCCTTTATGTCCTCACCAAATGATTTACCATCTATCATCTCCTTGTAAGCTCTCTCACTCTACTCTTTGGCTTACTCCCCTTAAGAAGACTCATCTTTTGATATAGTTTGTATGAAGATTTTTCAGTGGGAAATTAAGTACTCCCTCCGTTTCAGTTTAGTTGTCGTTTTAGGATTTAAATTTTGTTTTATTATAGTTGTCGTTTTAGGTTTTCAATGCAAATGTTTGGTGAAAATTTCAGTTTTATCTTTACTGTTTTAATGTTTTGGCCAATGAATTTTTTATAAAATATATTAATAAAGGATAAAACAGAAAATTAAATGCTTTTTTTAATTTGCGTGAAAAAACCTTAAACGACAACTAAAACGAAACGGATGGAGTATATATTTGGGTAACCTACGCATTACCGAGCATGTTAATTAGGATAATTTGGTTTAAAGCAAACGATAATCAAAACTAAGAAAATTAACAAAAAATTATGTTATGAAAACCCTAGTTTCAAGTTATAAATATTATTCTTATAAGAAATTTATTATTAATATTAATTAAGAAAGATATTGTTCAAACCACATAATTAATGTGTACAGATAGAGATAAGTATCTAGTTATTAAGAAGATAAGATTATGAGGATTTTCTGATACAAAAGAGAGTAAGGTATTGTTAATAGTATTTACTATGAGATAAGACTATAATGTGGATAGAGATAAATATCTAGTTATATTTTCTGACCAATCTTTTAACTTTACATTTGTTGTTATTGTGCAGGAACAGCTGTTCCGTCGTGTTCTCCTCTCTTTGTGACTGATTCATCGTTTCTTTCTTTCATCAGAGTTTTTATGTTTCAAGTAATTAAATTAATCATCACTGTTGTCTTTGCATTGTCATATAATGTTGTGTTGATGATATAAAAGAAGAGAGCGTTGGTTTGTACTGTTTTGTGTGAAGAATTTTTTTTTATATATAGTTGGTTTATTACAATAAATTGGAAATTGTGTTGCCTTGGTGGAGATCATAGGATCACCATAACCATTTACCATTTACCATTTACCATTTACCATTTACCATTTACACCTTATACCTTACGCATCATTTCATCACCAATAAATTGGCCCCATTACTTGGCAGTTGGCACCATTAGCGCTACCCACGAGGATCACTACGTACTCACACCCACCGGTTGTTATAACTTATAACTCAATTTTGATATGACTACTTATACTATATCTTATTTAAATCATCCAATTAAATCAATTAAATGTTTGATTAGGGATTTTCATTTTGCGGATTAGCACAGATTCATACTAATAATGAATGTATCTATAATGGACTGAGTTTTCTAAAAATTATGAGTCACTAACCAACCGGTCGATACATCAACGTATATTCAAATGTATATTGTTTTGCGTTTTAATATACTAATGAAAACTTAACTAATCATCAAGCAAATATTATTAACCAAGGTCAAAGGCGACGTGATACAAAAAAAAAAGAAATCTAACTACAAACATAGACCATAGATGATGAAGCTCACAGAAAGTTGCTTGATTCCTGATTTGTCCAAGCAATCAAAACAAAGACAAGCTTCAAAAACATTCCAAAAGCTCTCTCTTGCCTTTCAGCACACGATCAAAACTCAACACTAATGGTCCAAGAGATCATTCCAAAACATCCTCCATGATGAGAGCTTCAGAATAATCCTCCTCATAATTTGCTTACTCTTTGAACTGCCATTCTCTTCGACACATTGGGCAATGAGCTTGACTCGTCTGTGAATTCACCCATTTCAATATACAGTGAAGATGAAACGCGTGATTGCAAGCTCCCCAAACTGCCAAAACACCAAAACAATCAGTAAATGTTTAGCAATGTGTCAGTAAGCAAAAGAAATAGTGTATGCACTAAGCATCATATATAAAAGTGAAGACATGAAAGCAGAGAACTTTACTTAGAGGGCAATCATCTCCAGGAAGTTTGCAATCAGGACAACAACCATCAAAAGCCATCCGACATATCCCACATGTTTCGTCTTGAGCATCCCATGTCCATGAAGCAACTGCATGCCATCTATTCCAGGGAGAAACAATCAGTGAAACAATAGCAACTCCGCATTGTAAGAGCTCATGTGTTAAAGATAAAGGGACGAGGAACTTACTCTGTTTTTTTGGGTATGCAGGACAGAGAAGTAGCATAGAAAGTCAAGAGCAACAATTTCGTTTTCTTCTTTTACTTGTGCAACAAATCCAAAATGCATACATTTTGTGAACAAACCTAGTCTAGTTTATAAGCATCAGTTACACCAATCACAAGGATCTTCATGAAATACATATTAGTAAGTAATCAGCAACGATTATCAGAATTAAAAAACAAAACAATGGAAAATGCAAAAAGTTATTATGAATCATCAAGCTGGGAATCTAACTCGGTAAAGCTAATACACGATAAATAGACTCAACATGTTTACTTCTATATCAGATGATAACCATCAAAAGTCATGGTGTGACTTATCACTTAACCTGCAACCAAAGGCAGCCTAAAATAAACTTTCCCACAGAAAGCTAAGAAGATGAAGCAAAAAAAGGATACGCAAGATCTTGACTTTCATGGCTTCCTCCTGGATAAACAAAATCTTCAATAAGTTTCAACAAAAGACCGTAAAATTAGAGACCTCTAACAAAAGACTACCCAAACAAAAACTGAAGGTATAAGTCTTATGTGCAACACGTATACAAGACTTATTCGAAATGTTAAGCCTTAAGATCAGATAAAATACACATAAACCAAACCAAATCAAAGGCAAAATATGGAATGTACGAAATAAATATTATCTCTTTCAGGCATTTAGTCGAACAACTGGTATGCCAAAATCAAACTTAGATCAGTGAAATCCACAGAATCATGGTACTGAGATCATCAGTATCAAACGCAGACTAACTAAGTGCCAAGCAACGGAATTTTCTTATAAGTTATAACTGCCAATTTTGTCAAGAACTAATTATCTCAAACCGGGACCAAATTACAAAGTCGGAAAACAAGATCAACAAGAACATACCTAAGAAAAAGTCTGAAACTTTCTCCGCCCAAACACTGAATATCGATACTGTAACCGAACGATGAAATCGAAATTGAAAAATTCTTTAACGGGAAAGAAAATTTGCTGGCAATGGCGAGAGGATCGGACTTGGGAAGAGCAAGACGAAACGAAAGAGGAAAAGAGACGGACGTGTTTCATTGCTTATGGGCCGAGAAACATATTGGGCTTTCAAATAAATAGCCCAAATAAAGGATTTGTTTTAGTTATCCATGAACGAAACTTATGATGAGATCATGATGTCACTAATCTCCATATCTTAGGTAATATCTATACTAGTATATGCAGCTATATATTAATATACATTAGTTTTCCAAGTTAAATCTAAACCTAAACCATTTAATAAAAAAGAAGAAGAAGATAATTCTAACCCTATAACGTGAGTAGAACCCAAAATATCAAAATAAGGTGATTTTATATGTAGGTAATATACATTGTATATGTATGTAGGGATATACATTAGTTTTATAGGTTATATGTTAATTATTTATCAAGATAATCTTTGAACCAATAGAATATCAGTTCAAACAGTACATTAAATCATATTGAGAAATTTAATCATATGTTCTTAAGTTATTTGATAAACTTCAAAACGTTCATAACTTTTTTGGTACCTTACATCATATTGGAATATTGGTTACTCCTTAAAGAAATTTTTGTTTTACATACCAATCGACATTCATAAGATAACAAAAGTCCAATAATAATAATAATCTACGGTCAAAGTCTCCAATAAAGAAAATAATTGCAATTAAATGTATTGAAAAGGAATCTTTGACCCACTTAGAAACCCAAATCTTAGGAATTTATCACAAATATTCACACGTATTTATTTTTAGATCTACTATACATTTTTGCAGCAGTTTTTGGGGTACCCAAATCGGGTCAAATTTATTAATTTTGACCCGGAAATCTTCAATCGGATCTTTCTTTAAATTTTGGCAAAATTAAAAAACGAAAATAATTAATAAAATCTAAAATATATATACTTTCTCAACTAATTACTATATTTAAACGCTTTATTTATGGTATATTTTCCACGATTTTTATAGATAAAGAAATCAAATATGATGATTTAATGCTAATATAACAAATTTGCACTAATTTCCTAAAACCTCTCTACCTAATTTAAACATAAATATATGATTCTTATTTCACTTTTATTTGATCTTATATTTATATTATTTTAAATTATTATAAAATATATAAATAGTTAGTAAATTTTAGTTTTTTTTCTTCTGCATATGTTACAATTCAAATTTTTTAAAACGGACATATATTACTCAATCGATGAATAAAAATATGTGTGTAATCTATATTAACATTTTTAAGGAACAAATTGAGCATTTAATCATGTCGTTATTTTATTCAGACCCGAAATTGAGTCATTCGGATCTTTCTTTAATTTTTACAATTATCTAAAATGGGACAGTATATCACGGGTGAAATCCTAATTAGTATTTTAAGATACAATTATAAATTGTTTTTACGGGTTGGTCCAAAAACACACACTAATTTAAAAATATACATGGAAACTATTTGAATGCAACTTTCAAATTAACTCGAATTATATGACATTTAAATAAAAGTGTTATTAAAAAAATAACAAAATGATGTTTAATTTCATTTTAGATTATATGGTTGGACGGGTTTGGGTCAATATTAATACGAGACAATATACCACAGGTGAAATCCTATAAATAACAAATCAAAATACAATTATACAATCTTAAACACTAAACAAAACAAATACAACTTAAAATTTTTTATTTTAGATACAACGCATGTTACCCGCGGTATACAACAAAAAATATTATACACAATAAATTCATCAATTTATAAAAATAAAAAAATCAAATAATTAACCCGCGGGTCATATCCTAGTTATAATACGTTTTTCAAAGTATATAATACAACGTTATTACTTATTAATTTATTTTGTGATTAGCTGTAATCTAATACTATTAATAGTCTTTAACTAAATACTCTTTCATCACTATATAATACAACAAATCCACTAGCTAGTTACTCAAAACAAAAGAAAAAGAACAAAGAGAAGAAAAAAATTAATGACGAGAAAGAAAGTGAAAGTTGCTTACATTTCTAATGATTCATCGAGGAAAGCAACTTTCAAAAAAAGAAAGAAAGGATTGATGAAGAAAGTAAACGAACTCTCGACTTTATGTGGTATTAATGCTATCATCTACAGTCCGTACGATTCCAATCCTGGGGTGTGGCCATCAAATTCCGGTGTACAAAGGTTAGTCTCAGAATTCAGAACGCTCTGGACCAACACAAGAAAATGGTAGACCAAGAGACTTTTCTCAGACAAAGGATCGCGAAAGCTTCTGAACATTTGAAAAGACAAAGAAAAGATAATCGAGAGTTGGAAATGACAGAAGTCATGTTCCAATGTTTGGTCGGAAACATGGGAATGTTTCATATGAATATCATGGATCTTAATGATTCTGCAAGCAATTGAGCAATATCTCACAGATATTAATCGCAGGTTTGAGATTTTACAGAATTCTGGCATAGAGATCGGAGAATCTTCCAATAATGTTGGTGCGTTTTCGGGTACTTCTGAAAGGTTTGGTTCTATGGCAGTTGTGGCATCTACAACTGCGCCAACCCATACCACTATTGAGGCGGGTTCTTCTTCTTCATTTCCAGCTTTTTTAAATCCCATTCAACAACAACATCCACAATTTCGTCATCCATCATCTCCACAAGTTGGATTCTATGAGAAATCTCGGAGTTTGAATCTAAATCTAAATGATAATCATAATCAGAACCAACAAAAGTGGTTTATGGAAATGATGAACCATCCTGATCAATTGAATTATGCAGCTGAGCAAAAAGGTTTTCCATTTATGGATGATAATCACCACAACAACAACCACCATGATCCTCACCAACAACAACAAATCCCTGGAGATTCCTCCACTGTTTCGGCCGCCGTTAGTTCAAGCAGTACCATTTCTCTTACCAATCCAAATCTTACCAATAACATATGGTTTTGTTAGGATTTATTTCGATGTGGTTTTACAAGAGTTAAGAGTGGGTTTTTTTTTTTTAATTCTAATAAGCAAATAAAATCCTTAGATTCAAGTTTTATTTTGTTGTTATAATAAAGTTGCATAACAATTTTTTATGTTGTCATTTTGTCATTACTATTATGTTTTTTTATATAGTGAAGCTGTGAAGGTGACTATGGTTTTTGATGTTATGGATTTGCGATACTCATGTTTTTATTTATGTGTCATTAATAAGTTTGATTAGTATTTTTTTTTTAACTTCGGATATACGTTATTTCAATTAAATTAGTGGACTTAATTTTTTTAATAAATGTGTTATTATCTATACTATTAATTGGGAATCACTCAAAATTAAATAACCTTATAAAAGGTAAAATATTACATATGATGCCATTGGTTTTTAAATTTAAAGAAGGAGAAAAAAAATAGCAACCATATTAGTGATATTAATAACAATTATATTAATTCCAAGATTTTGCAAATATTACAACCATAAATTTCGGATACATTAATAAACTCATATACAATCATTAATTTATTATCATTAAAGAAACAACCATTTATAGAAATTAATAATCATCATAATATGGTTAAAAAATCAAAAATTGTTTTTAAATGAATCCAATAATAATTTATATATAAAATCCTATATTATTAGAATTCATATAAAATAAACTATGCAAATCATACCATAAAATTACCTAATAAATATCACTAAACGTTTTCAATCTTTATAAATCTCGATTTTTTCAAATCTTACTACAAATAAATAACAAAAACTATATATATGACCTTAAAATATATAAAATCCGAAAATCTAATTTATTGCCTAAAATTCAGGATTTAGGGAAAAAATAAGTTATTAATAGTTTGAAAAATCGTCAAGATAATTAATTCAAACTGATTTAATTAGTATGAATTAATTGAATTAATTTAGGAAAAACATATTATTGGATTTGTTATTTTCAAAATTCTTTGAGAGCATTGTTTAAAATTAAATAATGATTTGAAATTTAACGAAACTTATATTCTATATTCTATTAATATGATGTTAATACTAAAATTAAATTTCTTAATATATCTTTAAACCAATATATTGATGATAAAAAAAAAAGAAATATAAATATATTGTCATTAAATACAAAAATACAAAATATTTAAATTGACTTAAAATTTGAAATAAGAATAAATAATCAATTAAGATATTAAATCATTTTCTAAAATTCATAATAGGTAAAGGTAAACCTAATTTTTCTCATTAACTTCATCTCTCCCTATAAATATATAAACTTAGACTCACAAAAATTCATTAGCCCACCATTCCAAATGTAAGTCATAACTAATTAAATTTTGGTCTCTATTTATAAATTTGATTTTTGGATACATTTCTTTTAACTGTGTAATGATAATTACAAATAGAACATTGTACTCTCATTTTCGTTATGTTTCTACACCTTATAAATTAACTAAATAGGTTTGTCGAGCCATGGCTTAGCTTCTACTGAGTTGGGTCAAAAGACAGTCATACTCAGTTTATGAATATGATCCAACAATATCAGGGGAGAATATAAGCAAATAGATTTTTATAAGCACTTGATTCCACTTTTGTAATGGGTGAGTTATATAGAAAAGAAACCAAATATTTTAATTGAGTTAGTACACTACTTGATGCTAATGAACTTTGTTCTTTCCTACATGCTGCTCATATTTTATACGTTTGACGTACGCAAACGAAATACTAAAAAAGTGATAAAAATAGTTCATATGTCTAAGTTTGAACTTATTAATAGATAATCCAAACAGAAAAAATCATGTTACTACAGTTTAAAAAAAAGATAATTAAACCAAATAGAATAATAGTTATATAGAAAAGAAACCAAATATTTTAATTTAGTTAGTACACTACTTGATGCTAATGAACTTTGTTCTTTCCTACATGCTGCTCATATTTTATACGTTTGACGTACGCAAACGAAATACTAAAAAAGTGATAAAAATAGTTCATATGTCTAAGTTTGAACTTATTAATAGATAATCCAAACAGAAAAAATCATGTTACTACAGTTTGAAAAAAGATAATTAAACCAAATAGAATAATAGTTGGATTAGTATTTGCTGTTTTTATTATTTTCTTTGTTTGAGTCTTTACAACCATGAAGCTTTTTTTTTTTTTTGACAGCTCATGAAGCTTTACAACCATTAAGCTTTTTTTAACTAGAGAAAACAAAACATTTTTTTATAGACCGCGGGTAAATAAGGTTTTTGTGTAGAGTTCTATAAGTATGAATTAGAAATTTTCTTTCCTGAGTTTGTCAAATTATGAATATTATACCAAATAAATAAGTGTTCAAATATAACCTGCACCAGCGTTTTAAACAATTAGAGAATGTTTAACAAAAAAAAAAATTGGATAGATTCTATTTATTTGTAAAAATTAAATCCCGGAAGGAAAAGTAAGAAAAATACGGGTATTCCATCTAGATCTCTTACCCATTCTCTTCTCTGTTGAACTAAATTAAACATTCTCATATTGGTAATTATTTTAAAGGAAACAGTTATGTGACGAGAAATTTTAAGATATGCAATGAGACGGGACGGGACGACACTACTTTCTCTCATTGTCTTATCTATATTGAATTAAATTTTATTAAAAAAACATTTTTAATAATATTAAATCCCGCACATACGTGCGGGTCAGGATCTAGTTATATTATATTAGAAGAGTTCCGCGTAAAGCATGGATTACAATAAAACTTTATTTCAATTTCTATTGTAATATATAATTGTTGAGATTTAACATACCTGCTTGGAATCGGCCCCATGTTATATCTGAGAATAGGCTTGATAAAAAAATTTACTAAAATTTTGTTTATGTTTATAATTTACTGGAACGCTACGACCAATCAAATACCTTAGTATTAATTAAGAAATTTTATTTTAAGGAGGAAAAAGTAAGAAAATCTTTTTCACAAAATCTTATGTAATAGGTACTTGACAACCTGTAAAATTAGTTGAATGCAAAAGACAAAAATATATATATATTCATTTCCAAATATAAATTATTAGAGAAGATGCAATGTATGAAATATATTTTCTAATTATAGTCATTTACTCATAATGTCCCTACTCCCTAGAAGGTAAATAATTTGAATGGATGTATATATTAGCTGTTATTCAAACTAAAATAATAAATTTGTATAATATGTATTTATTATACACACTTACATAGAAAACAATTCTCCAAATTTAATTACAATGTATCTTCATCATTTAAAATGGTAAGTATTTTTACTGTTCTCATATTACTCATTCATAGCCAGAATTTATGATACAATCTTGTAGCCTGTACCAATAATTTTTCGTTGTTGTAAATAACAAGTGGCATAAGTAAGCATGATTTCATATTAATTATGAATTTTTGTGAAACTAATAGCAATATTTTTGATTAAATTTGCCAGCTATCTGATAGATCATCATTTGAATCAGTCATTGTTCTATATAAACGAACTCGTGATTAGAATAATATACACCATACAGAAATACAAAACATAACTGCCAATGACGAGGAAGAAGTTAAACCTATCTTACATTGCCAATGATTCAATGAGAAAAGCAACATTCAATAAGAGAAAGAAAGGGCTTGTCAAAAAAATCCACGAGCTATCCGTTCTCTGTGGAATCGAAGCATGTGCAGTGATTTATAGTCCGTTCAACTCAAACCCAGAGGTTTGGCCATCAAATCCAGAAGTTAAAAACGTAGTGGCAAAATTTGAGATGCTGACAAAGTTGGAGCAAGAGAAGAAAATGGTGAGTCATGAAAGTTTTATCAGACAAAACATCTCAAAAACTATGGAGAATAACAAGAAAAAGATGAAGGACAATGCGGAGAGGACGATGAAAGAGGCTATGTTCCAACTTCTTAGTGGGAAAGGAGAGAAGCTTAAGTTGACTGATATAAATCGTGAAGATTTGTGTAAGTACATTGATCAATATCTTAAAGAACTTTATCATCACAAAAACAAATCCATAAATCAGTCATATATTGAATATGGAGAATCTTCTGAAGCTACTAGTATCATGGCGCCAACATCTATGAAGTGAGTTCATATTCTTTTCCAAATCTCGATGTTTTCAACTCTCCTCGAGTAATCATGGATTTATCATCTTTGATGCTTATAATCTCTTCAAGTCAGCAACTTCAGCAAGTTAATACTTTTTTCAATAATTTTCTTTCTAGTGAAGCTGACCAGCAAAGTTATTATCCAGCGATAAATCCAGTTGGTGTTTATGATCAAAATCCAAATTTTAATCATCTTAGTCATAATCAATATCAACAACAGTTTGGATATGCGATTGTGGCTCAAGATAAATTTTACAATCCGGGTCAAAATCAGGAGCAGCATGAGGAATGGTTGGATGATCAAGGAAAAGAGTAATCCTTTGATGGATGACAACAACTTTTACTACCACCAACGGCCTAGATATGTATTGTCTGTATTTCATGGAATTAAAATTATTTAGTTAATCAATATGTTTTATTATGTTGTTCTATTGACGGAGAATTTGTCATTCCATTTTTTTCATATTCAATATCATTTAAAAATTTTTTTTTTGTTTCACAAAAAGTATTATTTTATATTTTCAATGTTGATTTTTAAATAAACATCTATAAAAAAAAAATCATTACTTAGTTACAATTTATTTATCAGACATATAAAACTATACAGTGTATAAATAAAGAGCTCGTTGGTTTTGACTCTGAAAGTTATACTTCCCACCAGGGAATTTGATCCAAAGCGAAAGAGTTTTGAGAATTTGGCGTAGTGATCAAATTAAAATCTCGAGCAGGAGATAATGTTGTGATGCCAAATCAACAGACTATGAATTTTAAAATATATTTTGGACTTACTTTCATTAATTAGCATTAGATATCTTATTATTATTATTTCAAGAAAATTATGAATGTCAAAGTAGCAATTATCCAGCAAATAACTTTTAGTAAGAAGGTACACTTTCAAATAAAACAGCAGTTAGCATGTATGTGAAACTGAACTAGCTAGAAATAATAGTTTCTCCATCTTTACATTATTGATAATAGTTTCTAGTCTTGGTTTTGTTCCTTGTATTATTTTGGGTTGCAACATTGATCCTTAGGTTGAACAATTTTGGGAGTGGAGATGCATGTGTGGGTGCAAATAAATGGTACTCATTTCTCTAATTAGTCAATTAATAGAGACCGATGAGTACTGATGACCATTAAGGAGTCTTTCAAAGATTCCGCATAGTACTCCGATCACCTTTTCTTTTTTTGTTGGCAAATCGAACTAAGAATTTTTCTTTTTCTAAACAGAATTTGAGGTTACTCCTCTCAACAATTTTCTTTTTGTCATCGTTTAGTTAACTCTTCGAGAATTACGAACCATTAATCATCAAAACGTATAGCTGCATCAAGAAAGTGTTAAGCCAAGTTGTTAGTCTTAATTGTTTTTCTTTCTATGTATTGTGAGTGATTGTTATTTTATTTGTGGTGATCGAATCTTGTAGACCGACACACTCACAAATCATGAGTTATGCAGGGAACCACTAAGAGATCACTAGACATACAACCATTTAATTAAATTGAAGGGAATATTTTGGGTAATAATTGACAGTAAAAAGTAAGAGTATATGAACCAAGAAAAGGCTCAAAGGCAAAGGTAGAGAGAAAGAGAAGAATAAAAGTACTCGTAAATGTACCTTTTTGTACAAAAACTGCAGCATTATGTTAGAGGACGAACTATTCAAGGACCTCCCCTCCATGCAAATAATATCAATCATATAAAGTTTTTTGATTCTATAGCTGGCTTCAAATCTTTGTTTTTTTTAGTTATTTTATTTTGAATGGATCTCACTAAATGATCGAACTTTTTTGCTTAAAATTAAAAAAATATATTAAAGATAAGTGATCTATGGATTATAATTGTTCCAATTTGTCGTCTATGTGAGAATTCGAACAAAACACACCATTAATTTGGGTGTTTGCAAGCCTTGAGTATTGTTCACTCCATTTTTTTCAGTCATTATGGTGGGAAAATGTCTAGTGATTAATTTGGATTAATCCACAAAGCTCGCAATCACAGTTTTTTTTTATTAGAGAGGATTTAGTATTCCTTATTCCCCTTCTGTTCGTTATTTATTATGAGGTTTTAAGACGAACATAAAATCTACAAAGTCGAATCTGGTTATTTTGTAATTTGTTTTACTATAAACCGACGCAATCATGCACAACCAAAAACACCCCATATTATTAAACTAGCTAGGAGATGAAAAGAGGGCAAAAAGAATGAGAAGCTTGAAGATGAGAACTGTGGAGAAAGATTGATTATTAACTACATTTAAGACACAATCAATGAATTATCTCAAGGACATAGAAAAAGAGAAGACAATTTACATAGAATCACATCAGTTCTTGATCATCATATTCATCATGCCTTGTCGGATCGGTAAGGAGAGAGAGTCTGACGCTCAGACTCAGAGACACGAGTCGCATGAAACTTGGCGATGAAGGCAGAAGCTTTACGGTCGATGCCTGGTTCAGCGACCCAATAACGTTTGTCCTCATCACTAGCCATTGCCTTGCGAGTGTAACCGACGTCGTCCCATGAGCCGTCTACTTCCACTCTGTGAGATCTTCGTGTTTTGAAGAAGCTGAATAGAGAGAACCTCTTGCTACTGTGAGACCTTTTGTTTCCACCCATTATTATTTAATTAGTCTTTGTTCTTGAATTTGTGACAAAAACAAGAACAAGGAGAGACACTAAAAAGAGGAGAGAGTTTTTTTTTAAAAAAATTAGAAGTTGTGTTAATGTGTTGGTGGCGTCTTAAGTGGAGAGGTGGGTTTGCGTATGTATTTATAAGGAATATGACCCACCAAAATGTTAACGAGTGAATCAGTAATATAATTTTGATCTTGACATAGTGTCATTCTTACGTACTACATTTGTGCATACTACGTACGTATTATACACACACAAAACGTTAAACTATCTTCTAGACTTTCAACAAAAAAAAAAAAAAAATCATTGGGAAATTTAAGGGATATCGACGGCATGGACGGAGACACGTGGACCATGGTAACACAATCACCTGGTGGTGGAGGTTTTGCAAAAGATCTCATGTAATGTGTTGGTTTCTATTGACTCCAAAACAAAAGCATTGGTTAGGCATCCAAGTTCTCTGTTTTGTTTGGTCTTTTCTCTCACACTTTCCTCAACCTCCTTTTTTTATAGAATTCTTTTGCAACCAAATATTTTTTTCTAAACATTGTTTTATTATTATTTTTAGTTATAATGGAATTTTTCTTTTGTATCAATTTCAAACATACTCTCACTTTCTTCTCCTTTCTTTCCGCTCCCCACCAATCTTAGCAACTCTTGCCTAACTAAGCCCACTTTTTAGTTATTTTCCAAACACTTCTCATTCTAAAAGTACCATACCAATTACACGTACATTAATTCTACTCTATGCATTTTTTTATTTTATTTTTTCACCGAAGAATACTGAGTAGCTGATATTTCTTTGTCCCGAATGTTAATTATCTAAAAAGCTCTCTCAAATCATCATCTCCCAAACGTAACGGTTCAAATTTAAACAAAAGCTCAACTTCTTCGTCAAGGGAAAACAAATTCCCAACCAAATCTAATTTCCTCATTGAATTTCTCGTAGATTGTTATTTTTTATGAAGCTTTTACAAAAGGAGTATGCAGTAAGAGAATTTACATTTAATCATTTATGGACTTATATATAATTAGATTAGATAAAGTCCTATTGCGGATGGATAATTTTTTTTTATTTAGGTTTAACACCAACTATCCGCCGAAGCGCCTAATAGATCATGACCAAATGATAAGAACTAGAATATGTTTTTTATATTTATTTTTAATACGCATGATATTTCAAGTTAGGCATTGTAGTTTGTAATAATAATATAAGCGATGGGAACTAATACTCCCTTTCACACTAGAATAGAGATGATGGCTACAGTAAATTGCAATTGATTACGCCAAAATCAAATACTATATAGATTAAGTACAAGAAATTCTCTAATATGGATATGAATATTATTTATATAAAATCAAAACAACACAAAAAGTTGGAGAAGAGCAAACAGTCAAAAAGAGAAGTGAAAAAGAATCTGTTGGAGAATAAAAAGACTCAATATTTTAATAGGACAACAAGAGTTCTTCTTGCTTCTTTGTGGAATATATCCAACAACTACAAGCTATCCCTAGATATAACTAGTAATTAAATCTAATATATGCCTTCTTTTCATAAAAATTATCCTAATCTTCTTTGGTAATCTTTCACCTATAAACTGCAATCCCACAGCTAAGTAATCCACCTCCACCAGAGTTCATCGCCTAGTTTGACCAGCAAAATTAAAACGGAACATTTAAAATTTTTAAAAAAATAATAGAAGTTGGTATATAGGTTTCGAATTCTTGCATGGTTATATTATATATATAAATGCTTATGCAATCAGTCGATTGATGAACCTTTAAATGAAATGTGATTAAATTTGTTAGCTAGCAAAAAATAGAACGACTGTCTACCAAAAAGGTTCTTATAATTTCTAGATGCGATTAACTATTAAACGTGTGAGTTAGTAATTTCTAGATTCGATTTAAATATAAAAGTTAAACTGTGTTTATTCGAAGGGTAAAAATTCTCCACTCAACTATTCTTTCTCATTACGTGAACCAAATTAATTATAACTTATTTTTTCGATTTATCAGAAGACGTACGTACGTGAACGATAACCAACAGATTGTTAAAGCTTCATAACTTGTTAAGAATCATTTGCATTAATTTTTCTTTTTCTTTTTGTTGTCATTGTTTTGTATTGGTTCGTCGCATTGTTTAAGATTATAAACTTATCTTAGCTGTAATCAATTACAATGATTATTAATTAGTTATTGTTTTTGTCTTAAACGAAACGAATCCATAGCATAACTATACCCCTAAAAATAAAACGAATCCATAGTCCATATATATTCCATAAACATATATATCGCTTTCTGGTCTGATTCTGGCGTTTTACTTTATGATGAAATCGTAAACCATTCGTTTTGCGTAGCATGGGAGATACGTTATTTGGCTTTTTAGATGGCACGATGTTTCGAATGAATTTCGAGATTCGGCAAGCTTTGTCCATGAGAAAGGCAGTTCAAGACGACGTGTAAGGTGATTGCTGACCAAGAAGGTCGTGATGTCATGTCTAATATCAATGTTGCATCTATGAACCGAAGTTTTTTTTTTCCAATATAACCGACGGAATGTACATACTTATACATTTTCTTTGTTAAAGAAAAAAAAAACTTATACATTTCGATCTTAATGTATAGTATTGCAAGTAAAAACAAAGTAATGTTATTTTCACCAGTAGTTGACCAGAGTTTTTAGTATACTTATTTGTGCGGATTTTTTTTTTTTTGAATATCAGAAAGTTCAAGTCCGAAAACTCTACATCTCTTAGAGGTGGGACCCACACCAAATTATATTCATCTCTTTCGGAGAAGAGATCTCTTCCAACGGACCTCGAACCCAGTACCTCTACCTGAAAGATTTACCACTGGGGCAACACAACGTTGGTCTTTGTGCGGATATTAATAATGTGTTACTGCTATCTAAATTTAAATTTATGTTGTTTACCAAAAAAAAGAGTATTGTGTCCTAGTCTTAGAAATCCGTTTCATCTTCGATAACTAAAAAAACAAATTTCGTGTTTTTGTTTTTGTATATTTTGTTTAGACTTCAACCAATTTCCTGTTCTTCTACTTTGTGTTACGTGTTATGTGTTTTCCCCAATTTTTCTCTTCTATAAAAGAATGAAAGAATAAAAAACAAATTTTGCTTCAAGTTTCCAATTTGGGGATAACCATTAGAAGTTCTAATTTAGAACTCAACTACACTTATTATTTTATTTAAAAATGTGAGAAAAATAAATAAATGCAAAAGAAGAAAATAAAAATCCACGGCCAAGCGTCGTCAGGCTCTTCCCTCTTCTTTCTCGTGCTACTTCGGAGAATTCGATCATAGAAAACTTCAATTTAGGATTAGGGTTTCTTCATTCTCCGCAATTTTTGAGGTAATTCGATCGCCCATTCTTATAATCAACAAAAATAAAAACTTTTGGTTCTAGGGTTCTTGCTGCCCAATTCCCAACTTTTCAAAATTTTTGCCCAGATCTTGTGATTCTGCCCTGAGAGCTATTCGACGTCGTTATCTTCTATTCGGATGCAATTTTACTTTGTTTTTATCTCTACTTAGTATTGATGTGTCTGTTAGGTGGCAGATTCTATCTATTTCGAGGTTATCAATCTTAGGGTTTACGCGGATTAGGTATTGTGGAATTTGGATAGGATCATTAAAAGTTGAAAGTTTTGCCCCTTTTTCCTCGAAATTTCTTTCCTTTTGAATTCAATCTTACTGTTTATGTATTGCAATTTGATGGTGATTGTGGTTTCCGTGAGTAGTAGATTCAAGTTTCAGGAACTCATTGCTTGATGGTTGAGTTAGAATCTGAAAGTTTCAATCTTTTTAGCTCTGAATGTGCATTCATTATTGAGATGAAATAGTTTATACCATCGATTCGCAAGGGCGAAACAAAAGTTTCTCAGTGATTGTGATTTGTGATATCTTCTATTCTATCCATATGCTTGTTATGTAGCTTTCGTTGGAATTGAGAGCTTAGGTTGTTATGTTTAGGTACTCTAGTGTCGATTTTGTTAATCCTCTATGTACAAATTTAGTTTTATTACGATTTGTGACATCCGAAAGCTTTAGGAACCACATGCCTGCATTGAGTTTGAAACCAAAATTAAGAGCTTTGATGGTTCTGCTTGTTTCAGGACATGTCAGGGAAACGGGTCATAGCAATATGTATGTCTGGTGGGGAATTTCAGACAGAGAAAGGCGGATCGCTGTCTTACAAGGGCGGCGATGCTCACGCGATAGATGTCGACGAGCAGATGAAATTCATAGACTTTATCTCAGAAATTGGGGAGATGTTTAATTGCGACGTCAGGACAGTTTCTCTAAAATACTTTCTCCCGGATAACAAGAAAACGCTCATCTCGATATCTAACGATAAAGATTTGAAACGGATGATCAAATTTCACGAGAACTCAAACACCGCTGATGTCTATCTTTTACCCGAAGAAGCTACTCCCGATATTTCAAACATGCCAGCTAGCAGGTTAGTAAATCCTTTATCGCCTTATCTTTTTAGCTCGATTTTCTAAGTTTGTAAGAGTTATTTTTTTCTTCCAGATCAAGCAGAACAACATTGTCTGAAGTGATCCCCCCAGTTCCTATGGACGACATGATAGATGACACAATGGGACCAGAAGATCTTCCCATCTCAATCTCAGTTTCAGCTCCTCCCGCTGTAACTATGGAGCAAGTCATGAACCGAGCTGAAGATGCACAAATTGTTATTAATCCATCCGAATTGATGTCATCGATTGTTGAAGTCCCGAATCCAACAGGAGATATTCTCACAAAGGCAAGAACACAGCAGTGGCAGAACACAATCACAGGAGTGGGTCAACGGTTTAAAAACGTTGGGGAGTTCCGTGAAGCGCTGAGGAAATACGCCATAGCAAATCAGTTTGGATTCCGCTACAAGAAGAACGATAGCCACCGAGTGACAGTTAAATGTAAAGCCGAAGGTTGTCCTTGGAGGATCCATGCTTCAAGGTTATCAACAACTCAGCTGATCTGTATTAAAAAAATGAATCCGACACATACTTGTGAAGGCGCGGGTGGTATTAATGGGCTTCAGACGAGTAGAAGCTGGGTTGCTAGCATTATCAAGGAGAAGCTGAAAGTCTTTCCTAACTATAAACCGAAAGACATTGTCAGCGACATCAAGGAAGAGTATGGGATTCAGCTGAATTACTTTCAGGCATGGCGTGGTAAAGAAATTGCAAGAGAGCAGCTTCAAGGATCTTACAAGGACGGTTACAAATTGCTTCCGCTGTTCTGCGAGAAGATAATGGAAACTAATCCGGGCAGTCTCGCTACCTTCACAACGAAGGAAGATTCAAGTTTTCACCGTGTTTTTGTTTCTTTTCACGCCTCAGTTCATGGTTTTCTCGAGGCCTGTCGACCACTTGTGTTTCTCGACAGTATGCCGTTGAAATCGAAGTATCAGGGGACTTTATTAGCTGCGACTTCTGTGGATGGGGACGACGAAGTGTTTCCTCTGGCTTTTGCAGTGGTCGATGCGGAGAC